GGAAAGTAAAAATACATATCTGCAAAAAGTTAATGAAACCCTGGAAGAACGAATCACACAATTAGAAGCAAGGGATATTGAAAAAGAGATTGAAATAATAGGCCTATGCCAACTGGAAAATGAAAACACAAAAGAGACCATTATGAAAATTGCAGAAAAAATTAATTTAAATCCTAAAGAAATAGAAAATGCAAAGAGGGTAGGGCGAGAAAGATCGGACGGTGATGAAGGTCGGCCGCCGCGCCGGCGACCCATCGTAGTGACGCTGGCCTCTGTTGATGCTAAGAATGACTGGCTCATGCAGCGAAAAACAAAGTTAAATAATAAGGACTTGCTTTCTATAGAAAACGAACAATCTGTTTACGTAAACGAAAACCTTACGAAACAAATGCGTAAGCTATTCTGGAACGCCAAAAGTACATTAAAAGGAATATATAAATATATATGAGTACCAAAATCATAGAGTTTTAATCAAAAAGGACGATAAGTCAAAAATAAGACATATAAAAACGGACGCTGATATAGGGAAAATACTATCTGCACAAGACAAATAAAAGAACGCCGTATAAGGGCGAGCGCTGAACACACAACATGTTTATCATATTAAATCACATTCAACGATCCACTGAAAAACATCAAAGAAACAACAATAAAATGTGATAAAATCAATGATGTGAATACCTGGCATTCATATATAAGTAATTCAAAGAATGGTCTACAAATAATACACTTAAATATCCGATCATTAAGAAAAAACTTTGATGAAATTCAATGCATAATTAAGACGTGTTTAAATTGGATTGACGTTATAATACTGAGTGAAATTAACATTCAAAAGGAAGAACTATTTATGTACAGAATAGAAGGATACAGTATGCACTCGCGTCCACGGGAAAACATAAGAGATGGAGGGTTGCTAGTTTATACCAAAAAAGAATTGAAAGTCGAAAAGTTAAACACACATGAAACTGCATCTGAAGTTTTACAATTGGTGTTAAAAAATATCAGAACCCACTTCATATATTTGCTATTTATAGGCCACCGAGAAACAATAAAAATTGTTTTATACAAAACTTGGACAGGATATTGCAAAATATACCGAACACCGATAATGTTGTAATTGCTGGAGACATGAACATCGATATATTGCTGAATAATAGCATAACCGAGAGCTACAAAAACAACCTGTGTAACCACGCCTTAGAGTGCGTTATCAACGACAGTACGCGGGACGAGATACTAGACGGGCGGTTGGTGACGTCGTGTCTCGATCATGTGTGGGTGCGAGCGGCCGGCGAGCTGCGTCTCCAGCGCGCACACATGCTCACCTGTAAGGTGTCGGACCACTACCTGGTTGGCGTCAGCTTATCAATACCGGCGGCGGCGCAGGCGGCGCGCCCGATCGCCACTCGTCACAAACGAAACGTACAAATTAATGATAAGTTAGTTAAATCGGCGTTAGAAAAAATAAACTGGTATGAAGTGTACGGGATTGAGTGTCCGAATGCTATGTATGAGAAACTTTACAATATCTTTAATACCATATATATTGAGAGTGAGCTGTTTCGAAAGTGGAAATCTAATCCAAAAAATTTGTTATATAGATTAGACTATACAAAATTTAGAAATGTAACAAATAAATGTATATATTTGGCAAAAAATAGATATAAACAGAATGAAATTAAAAATTGTGAAAATGATTTAAGAAAATTATGGGCTACTATTAATAATTGGATTGGCAATGTAAAACCAAGCTTAGACGAAGTCATAAATAATTATCTAGGTAAAAATAATTCTATTGAGATGGTGTGTACCAATTTTTCTAAAACATTTACTTCAGAAATTCAAAATATAAAGCACAATTGTCAAATAAACTTCTTAGATAGACAGACTTATGTAAAACACTGTGATGTAACATTTAGCTATCAGAAAGTATCTAACAAGCAAATAGAAAAAATTATAGATAAATTAAGCATTAGGAAAGCCCCGGGCTTAGATTGTATAAGAAGTAAAGATTTAAAGCTTGTAAAAACGGAAATAAGCCCCATTTTGGCAAAGTTTGTAAACAACTGTGTAAGAACTGGTGTGTATACTGAGATGTTAAAAAAGTCAATAATTCGACCTATATATAAACAGGGCAGTCACTTAGACTACTCGAACTATCGTCCGATAGCTATATTATCAGTGATTAACAAAATAACAGAAAAAGTAATTGTGTCCCAAATAAGTAAATACTTAGATAAAAATAATATAATTTCTGATACACAGCACGGTTTCAGGAGCAAGCGCAGTACCTCAACCGCTTTGGCCCAATTTACAGACGAAGTTAATGAGCATTTAAATAATAAAAAATATGTCGTGACTTTATTTATAGATTTTAAAAAAGCGTTCGATACGCTCGGCCATGAACAACTCATTGTTGCCATGCAAGAATGTGGTGTTCGTGGTACGGTACTCGAATGGTTCAAAAATTACTTAAATAACAGAACTTTAACTACTGTCATAGACGGGAGGAGCGGTGAGGAATCTGACGTGATCTACGGTGTGCCGACCGGCTCAGTGTACGGACCCGTGGGCTACATTATGCATGTGAACAGCATGTGTAATGTGGTCCAGAGTTGTTCGACATATATGTATGCCGACGATACATGTATAGTGTATGCGGATAAAGACAAAAAACTGTGGAAAGAAATATTCAGGCCGATTTTGTAAACATAATTAAGTGGTCTCATGACAATGGTATCATTCTCAATATAGAAAAGACTAAATGCATGTTGATTAAATCACCTTATTTAAGTGAACCAACTGAAACTATAAATATAATAGGGCACACATTTGATTGTTTACATAATTATCAGGCAAACTGTAAATGCTCACATATTCAATTTGTGGATAAATATAAATATCTAGGAGTAACCATAGATACTAAGTTTAGTTGGAATAGTCACATAGACATGGTATGTAACAAACTGCGAGCAATAATGGCTAAATTAATTAATTTAAAAGGTATAGTAAACCGAAAAATATTGTACATATTATACTATTCGTTAGCCGAGTCTATAATTAGTTATGGCCTAGATGTATACGGGCGTACTTTCAAAACATACCTAGATAGAATATATAACATTCAGACTCGAATAATAAAGGAAGTATTAGTGGATACGAATACTAAGAAAAGCTGTAATAAAAACTATAAAATATTGTTTAAAAAGTTACAAATTCTACCAGTCCATGAAAAAGTTAAATATGTAATGTCTATAAATGAATATGGCAGTGATAAATTTAAAAAAATGTCAAATACCAACTCGTCAACTCAGGGAAACGACACAAAAAGATATGTTGAGCATATTGCTAATAACTATTTTGGCCAAAGAACTCAGAAATATATAATACCAAGAATATTTAACAACATAAGCCCAACAATAGAAAAATGTAGAAGTAAACATATATTTAAAAGAAAATTAAAAAAAGATATTTTGGACAAGTTTGATCAAGAGGACTTTCGTTAAAAGTATCCTATGTGCGAACCAGCGCATAGGATGCTTACTTTTTTATCTGTGTGCCAAATTTTGTAAAATTTTGTAAAAAATTGTAAAGTATTTGTATATTGGTGGTGGGTATATATATATATATATATATGCATATGGAAACAAAAAACAAAAAAATGTAAAGAGCGTAATATTCGCCAACAAACTGACATTTCAGTTTGGCGAAATAAGTTGTTTTTTGTATATCTGTATTTTTAATGAAAATAAATAAATAAAATAAAATAAAAACAATAGGCACGCGCCGCCAAGCCCGGTAGCGTCGGAACCGCTATGTTTACTTCCCTGAATTTTAAATTTGTAATATCTTCGAAAATATTCATTTAAATTATATGCGTTAAAGGGCCAAATTGTTCTATATTAAATGCACAATGTATTTAAGGTATTTAATTGGATAAGGATGAATGTTATATTGCTTAAAATCGCTTCGTAAATAATCTATTATTTCTCGTAAAAAGTATAGGATAAAAATTGGTTATTGTGGGTTATCCTTAAGAGATAGACATATACCATCGCGGACTTTTTTGTAGACCTTTTTAAGGTGTACAATACTGTAGTACATTATTTTGATCTATCTCGTGGGGTTCAGCCAGCGTTTGCAATGTAAGCGCAAAAATGTGTTTATTTACGACCTTACATTAAAAACCTCTAAAATTATCAGTGTTTCTCTACTATATTATGCATGTATTATACATATAAACCTTCCTCTTGAATCACTCTATCTATTAAAAATAAAACCGCATCAAAATCCGTTGCTAGTTTCAAAGATTTAAGCATACAAAGGGACATAGGGACAGAGAAAGCGACTTTGTTTTATACTATGTAGTGATAAACATTGCAGAGATATATTGATTTGAAAAGTCGCATGACATCACGTTTGAGAACACTTAAGTCAGAAACATATTAACGTGTCGTGTCGTGTCGTGACGCGCCAGAAGCACATCGGATTCATACATTTACTATGGTTAGAGACATATTTACGTGTCGTGTCGTGTCGACGCTCTAATCTCTCTATCTCTCTCTAACCCATAATAAATGTATGAAACCGATCCGCCACGTCACGCCACGACACGTTAATATGTTTCTGGCTTTATAAGTGAAAATTCACTCAAAAGTGACGTCAAGAGCCCCCTACTCCCAAACTTTGACGCGCTATAACTTTGTCATTTTTTGGTTGATTGCCCAAAGAAAAAATACGTGTCCATTATTTTTTGATCATCTAACTGACGGACTAAATAGAATTTCGTTTACTGTACCCCGTCATCACCCCTATTACGCATATGGTCAAACTACTTTTTTTTACAGTCCGGAGGTTACGAGCTTGTTCAATTTAAATCTCAAGAATTTTCAATCAAAACCACCTAAAACAGTGTTAAAATCACTTATATTAAAAACCATACCAAATGCTCACTGTAGGTATGTCATTCAGTTTTATACAGCTCCTGTCAAAATTAATTTTATGTAATTATACCGTTTTGTTCGCCAGCTCCTCATATAGCTAACACGAATAGCCAAGTAAAGTGTGGGAATTATAAACAGTCAAGTTACATGCGTGTTTCCATCATTTAATCGCCACACGATACATTAGGAACATATCCACTCTTCCGTTGATTATCGAGAACATCTAGCGATTCTTGCTAATAATTCTCGAAAACAGTGTGACTAGTGCGAGTTTTTAAACTCAGATGCATGTTTTATAAACGGAATGTATGATATTGTTCTAAAAAATATATTGACTTGTTTGATTTTTGAGCTATAGTACGCTGCATTTTTAACTAGATGGCGCTCTTTGTCATTTTCAGTTTTAAGTTTTTATGAGTAAATAAAAACTCGCACTGAGCACTCAATTATTTCATTACACACTCAAAGTATGCTTTTAGACAACATTATTTGAATAATTGCAATATCAATATCACCTTCGATTAACCACTTTAAGACATTAATATTAAAAAACATATAAAAAGTAAATGGGTTAATTTTGATTTTATTAATTTTCATACATAAACAATAGATAGACGTAAATACGAGAGAGAGATATAGATACACATATATCACAGTTTCCCTTAAACCAATAACTGGCAACTTTTTTTAAATTTAAAAGAGCCTCAATACTTTCTTAGAGTAGTTAACCAAAGGTGTTGCCGTAAAACAAAAGCAAACTAAATCTAGTTTCCACTAGTACAATAACCATTCTATTTTCACTAACTTACTGACTCGACGTGATTACAAAAAGAATCTTTACAATTACCACCGCACACATATTTTATTATACAATCAGGGTTTGTTGTATTCGCTCGTAATTTAGAAGAATATCACCTAATATTAGTAGGAAAGAGCGCCAGTCTACCTTCTTTGCACCGTGGCACCTCCGTCGAAGCACTTTCTAGAGGTTCGGTGAGTCCGTTCACTGCCTAATGAGTGCAGCAGTAAGCTGACACTGCTTTAACAAGAGCAGGGAACTGAAGGATTACCTGAGTGATGAGAAAATTGAATATTAATATTGTTTAAAGGCAAGTATTACTAGAAAAAAATAAAAACATAACTATAATTGCTATTTCTTCTTTCAAATGTTTAATACTTGAAAAAGTATTCATTTGATATTGTGGGTTACCTAAAATGCGAACAAATGGCGCTGCCTTGCAGCTTAAGGATAGGAAAATTTCGACGCTGCCATGAGGGCCGTGGTAGCGTAATTGGTCAGTGCATTCGCCCGAATTGCGAAGGGTGCGGGTTCGAGTCCCGTCCGCTGCCTGGTCCGCGTGGATGTTTTTTTCTAGTAAAACTTTTCTTTAGATTTAAACATGTAGCAGTTAAATGCTTAAAAAAATAAAATAAAAACATAATTAATATTGTTTCTATTTTTGTTTTAAATATAAATATGCATCTTATTTTAATTACCTTTATTATTTTATCCATACTAATATTATAAATGGGAAAGTGTGTTTGTTTGTTTGTCTTCTCTTCACGCCTAAACCGCTGAACCGATTGTGTTGAAATTTGGTAAATGTATAGCTTGAACTTATGAGCCTGCTATAGGCTACTTTTTTTTAATTTATATATTTGAATTTACATAATTTTCAACTAAATTAATCATTTTCATGGTTGGTCCTGATAGAGATGGCGCTACTGTCACGAAGACAAATTAAATTTGAAATGTGGAAGTTGCTATCTTAACTTAATAATACGAGATGGCACCACTCGTGTTCAATACCGAGTATTTTGTGTTAGTGTTTCATTTATTAAATCGAGGTAATTTTACGCAATTTCTTTCTAATCTTATTTTTAAAATTAAATCTAGCAAATACTACTCCAAATTTATAATATAAAAATATCATTTTCGAGTGATTATAGATAGAGATGGCGCTACCATCTCGAATACCAACTCAACCGAGTAGTCTCTCTTGAAATAATATTTTCTGAGTAACTTATCAGATGGCACCACCCGTCTTTAATATCGAGAATTTTTAATTGCTAAAAATGTGAGTTGTGATATTGCGTTTTTTCAGATCACGCTATTTATGATCATGACTTTTTAATATTTATTGTTAACTAGCTGTTACCCGCGGCTACGCTCCCGTGGTTTTCCTATTTGAGGCTATCATCCTCTTTTGACATAGTGAGTAAAAAAGTAGCTTATAGCAACCCAAAGCTTCAACCTATTAGTGCAGTCATTGAAGCGAAAAATACGGTCTTACCTCCGAATTTTTTTACTGTGAACCGTTTTGCATGAAATTTTGGAATTAGGCTCACCTTACCCTTAACTTCAAAAGTGAAAATGATCTGAACTCCGCCTATTATTTTTAAGGGGTGTAAACAACCCCTTAATGGAAAAATTTACATTGAGCCATTTCAGCAGGTAAGCAACAGCAAGCAGTAGGTAGCTACCTACCTTGATTGATTTTAAAGAAATACGATTTACCAAGGTACCATATCTGTTTTTGTTTTCCTTTGTGATTTGGTTTTGTTGTGCATTAAATGAATTAGGTAGGTATTTTGGTAGTTTCTTCGAATGTATAAAATTGACTCGCTGATAAAAATTATGGAAAAACACATAACATCGTGTACAGTAGCGTACTTAAATAGTACTGCTATGTGTTTAAAATAATTAAACCCTTTATTCTAATAATACTAATGCTTTTACATTTTGAAGTTTTATTACGTACTATCCATAGTAGTATTAGGTATTATTATGAGAGTGTTTGTTTTGTTTATCCTTCCTCGAAGCCTAAACCACTTTGAAATTTGGTAAGTATATATAGTGCAGTCATTGAAGCATTATTACTCCGAATTTTTTTACTGTGAACCGAATTGCATACAATTTTGGAATTAGGTTCATCTTACCCTTAACTTCAAAAGTGAAAATGATGGTTGCCACCCCTTCTGGGGGGTGATTTTTTTTTTCAAAATAAGTATTGTAATAAATTTTAAGCAAAAAATCATCTATAAAGTTTTTCAAAAAATCCAATACTTTTCAAGTTATTGGCAATTGAAAATTCGAAATTTTTTCCCGTTTTTCATCGGTTTTTTGCAAATATCTCCAAAAATGTAAGTTTTATCGATAATTTTATAAAGAACAAAATTGTAGCAGGTAAAACAATGAACAATTTGGTTTTTTTATAGAGTATTCTAAGTGCAATATTAAGCTAGATATCAAAGATCAAAGCCGTTTTTTATTTTGTCTGAAATTTAATCGATGTGGTCAATGCCATCTAGCGGCGAGCAGATGCATTTTATGCATTCTGATACAAAATCTTTTTATGTCATACCAAAGTATTTTTTTGTGATTTTTTCAATTTAGGGGTTGTTTGCAAGGGTTGTAAGATTTTCAAGTGGTTGAAAATGATTTTAATATGAGGTAATTATGTTAGAAAATACTTTACAATATCATCACTTACTATTAGACATGTTTTCTAGCTATAAAATGGCTCAATGTCAATTTTTCCATTAAGGGGTTGTTTACACCCCTTAAAAATAATAGGCGGAGTTCAGATCATTTTCACTTTTGAAGTTAAGGGTAAGGTGAGCCTAATTCCAAAATTTCATGCAAAACGGTTGACAGTAAAAAATTCGGAGGTAAGACCGTATTTTCGCTTCAATGACTGCACTAATAGGTTGAAGCTTTGCGTTGCTATAAGCTACTTTTTTACTCACTATGTCAAAAGAGGATGATAGCCTCAAATAGGAAAACCACGCGATCGTAGCCGCGAGTAACAGCTAGTTTTATAATATTGCTAAAATTAACACCCTTCCCCCTTTCTTGTTCTTATATACTTATTTCATTTTCCATCGTGGGTTGCCTGGAACAGATTGCTATTAAGCAATAAGGCCGCCCATTGTGTAATGTCTCTCTGTCAGTGTAATTTTACTTTTATGTCCTTTGTGGTGTGATACAATAGAGAATATTATTATTATTATTAATGAGGAAAACGTACGAACGAAAGGAGTTTGGATGGGAAATCAATTGCTGAAAAAATTATATTGATTTGTAGATTTTAGCCATAGTACGCTGCGTTTTTAACTAGATGGCGCTCTTCAACATCAGAAGTTATATACATCACCGATAGTAGTCGATAAATTATATACACGAAGAATGAATTAAAAAAATGAAGAAAACCTATTGATTTTCTTTTTAAGCAATTTTTTTTGCTCATTGAGGTGGCGTGTGTGCTTTCATGGAGAAGTAGTGCAGAATGCAAAAAATCTTATAAATAAATATTATAGCACAGTGTGACCTAAACCCGCACTTTACGCACGCTTTTCCGTGACCTAAGTTGCCTATTTCTGCACGGTGTGTACATGAATTGACCAACTTCACTCACGTAGAAAATATAAAAGGAAACACATTTAAATGTCATTTGGAGCTTAAAAACTCACAGCAAACAAATGACAAATTAGCGATAGGTTAGGTTATTTTGTTGTAATGATATTTGATTTTTTCCTTTTGAAATATACTTTCAAAATGGTAATCTGAACCGGAATTCTTTCTTTTCAGAGTTTGACTTGCAGTCTGTATTGCAATTCTTTGTGATTGCAATACATGAATTTTACTTTCAAAACACTAATCGCATCCCTCGGAGGCCGGAGGCCCTCCCGAACCCCCCCTCTTGCCCGCGTCCGGGGCGGGTTTATGTCACACTTGCTATAAAATAGTATACGATACTTGTGGCCTAAGTTGTCTATTACTGCACGGCGTGAAGTTAGCGCCCGAGCGGAGCGACTATTAGGCAACTTAGGTCACGCGTATCGTAATGTACCATTTCCAACACTCACACCAAACAGCCTAGCCCCAAAGTAAGTACTGTAGGCTTGTCTTTTGGGATACTAGGGTAATTGATAGAATACATATACTGATAAATATATAAGTATATTTATATAGAAATACATATTAAACATAGATGACTGGAGTACATATAAATAAATATTTCCAACACACACCAATTAGCCTATCCCCAAAGTAAGCACTATAAGGCTTGTGTAACAAGATACTAGGGTAACGGATAGAATACATATACTGAACATATCTAAGCATATCTTTATAGAAAATACATATTAAACATCCACGACTGGAGTACATAATGTACATATGCTCGCATTTATCACAAAAACATCTGCCCCCATCGGGATTCGAACCCAACCCTCTCGAGTAGGCGAAACCCGGCGTACAAACCACTCGGCCACGGAGGTCGTTATTAGGAGTATTAGTTATCGCCCATTGGCCGAAATTTCACCATTTAAGCTCTTTTTTCTAATACCCATTCTATATTCAGCCAATGCCTTCACCATTTGCGTTCATGTTGTGCTCTTTGATCGCCTTTGGCAGCGGCGTAAACGTCAACAACAATGGAAGCGATCAGTACCCTTAGTACGAGTTTTACAAAAACTAGATAGTTTTCTTGAGCTCGCACTAGTACTTATTTTATTGTTTTCATTACAATACAAATAAACAGTGTTGAGTCTTCTTAAATTTTAAGTATATTTGGTTACTTTTCACCAAAATGGACATAGAAACATAATTTACAATTACAAAAACTATGAAAGTTTTCGTGAGTTCAAATTCTTACTAAGGGTACTGTACGTGTAAGCGCCATTGGTTCAAAAAACACCAAAATTTATGTCGCTTCAGTATTGTAAACAGTAAAAATCTTCAAAAAAATCAAGTTCCTTAAGCACCAGAAAAGTACTCGAATCTTTACGAAATATAAACAAATCGACGCAAAAAAATCTGATTCAAATGATAAATATAATATAACTCATTTTCGACCTAAGTAGCGGATGATTTTGCCCTTAAACTGTCGATATGTTGTATTCTATCCATTACCCTAGTATCCCATAACACAAGCCTACAGTGCTTACTTTTAGGGTAAGACTAGTTGGTGTATTTTTCTAGCAATAAAAATTATCATCAGCCTATTAATGTCGCCACTGCTGGGGCGCAGGCCTTCTCTATGGATGGAATAGGGAGATTAGGCCATGACCCACCACGCGGGCCCAGTGCGGATTGGCGGATGCAGACGACTGCAGATGCAGCCGGGACCAACGGCTTAACGTGGCTTCCGAAGCATGGAGAGGCTCGAGATAGTAAATTTTTGGTCACCCATCCAATGACCAACCACTGCGAAAGTTGCTTAACTTCAAATATCGCAGCCGAACGCGCTAAGCACTTGCGCCATCGAGCTCAATAATAAACAACAGTACTCACTACTCGTCGTCGGAGTCAGAGTTGACGCTGGACCGCAGCTTGGAGAGAGTGCGGCGCGCGGCCGGCGTGTCGTCCTCCTCGTCCGATGAAATCACGATACGTTGGCGCGGCTTCACTCCCGTCGCGCCACGCGTCATTCTACGGGTGGATGCGTCCCCGCCTTCTGTCTCCGCGCCTAACGATTCAAGTTTCAAACGTTGTAGCCTTACGATTATAACAAAAAGAGAAGATACGGTACGCTCATACCAGCATCAAATAAAATATGATCCGACTCAACTACATAAGCAACTCTCACACACACACACTTCTGTGAATAAACATTCAATCGAGCGAGCCAGACAGAATTGTACGCTTCAATGCAGCGCGAGCGAAACGGCGCGAGTCCGCGTCGCTTAGCAACCGACTGCGTTTTCTTTTCTCTCTCTACAAAGGGCTTAGCTCTATTTTTGTCCTTTTCTTGATAAAAAATGGCGAATCAGTAGTTACTGATTCGCCATTTTTATCAAGAAAAGGACATTAGAACATTCATAGCAAACCGTTTTTTGTTGGAAAAAAAATGAGCTTTACGAATGAAAAGTGATCTGAGTGATTTATTTGATCTTGAACTATTTGTGTTCTTTATAATTTGTTTTTATGTATCAAAATTATTATTATTTATTATTATTTTGTCATTGGCATGCTATGATCTTTGTGGTTGAAATAAATGAATTATTATTATTATTATAAAAGCATCGAAGGCATAGTTTTATCTTAATAAGACAGAAAATACGCAATATTGTTATATTGAGTACAAATGCATCGTGTTTGGATGTCTGTCTAATTGTGACTAAAGCGAATTGTGGTCATACACCACAATTTAAGCGGATCACTTTTAAACCGCGAGTGCCGTATCCTCCCTTTTAGTTTTAATCTAAGGTTGTAACGCTTCTTATGACCGCTATTCATACAAGAAGCAATCTGGCGGTTATGTCCACAAACAACCGCGCTACGACTTAAGAGGTCATACACGTTACAACGGTCGTACGGACCTTCGCACACACTTCGGTCGTACGCAACAAGTTCGATCGTGAATGGATTGGTCGTAGAGCGGACAGAACGACCAAGGTCATGTCGCCCCTCATTGACATACTAAGCGAACCGTGGTTCGATCGACGGGCTGTGCGACTGTTTCAACTTGAATGGCCTCTTTAATCCGTGCGCGAACGGATTGGATAGAAAGAAAGAAATGAAAAATAGTTATATTTTATTATTTTTTAAAGCATGTAACTGCTAGATGTTTAAATCTAAAGAAAATATAACTAGAAAAAATCCACGCGGACCAGGCAGCAGACGGGACTCGAACCCGCACCCTTCGCAATCCGGGTGAATGCACTGACCAATTTGGTCCCTATAATGGGAAGAGATGGCGCTGCCTTGCAGCTTAAGAATGGCTAGAGGAATTTCGACACGGTCCGTGAGGGCCGCGGTAGCATAATTTGTCAGTGCATTCGCCCGGATTGCGAAGGGTGCGGGTTCGAGTCCCGTCTGCTGCCTGGTCCGCGTGGAATTTTTCTGGTTATATTTTCTTTCGATGAAAAATAGTTTTATTTGAGACAAAAAAAACTAGTAGAATATACAAACAAAACACACAAATTTAAAAATATATTCTTAAATCGGTCCCAACTCAGCATGATGCTGATGTTGCCATCAGCTGGTCTTCCGTTGGAACCGGTTTGGTGACGACACGAAACAATTCCATTGACAAGCAACAAAATTCACTAACACACTACAAAAAAAATTAAAATACGAATCCTTAAATTGTGCACACTTAATGGCTGGATGTAATTTAGGTCATTGACTAAAAGAGAGAAAAAAAGAGTTAAAAACAAATCTGATCTCTGTAATCTGTGTCTGGCTTACATTGACAATATAATAATCATAGATACTTCTATATGAAAAACAGCTATTTATATAATTAAAATTTCTGGCACCAAACAGAACACAAAACTTGATGTTTTTTTTTCGTTTTCTATATAATATTTTTTATGCTAGGTTATTATTATAAATGGGCACTCACCCTCCTTGTCTTTATGCTTGGCCTTCGCCTCTTTCTTAGCCTGTTTCTCTTGTTCCTTCTTGTCCATCTTGGCCTGTTTGAGCGCCTTGCACTTCTCTAACGTCGGTTTGCCTTCTAAGCCCGCCGCCGTTAATAGATCTAACATCTTTTGAACACGCTCCTTATTCTTTGTGCAACCTGATAGACGAATAAATTGATTGTAATTATTATTTTGAACAAATTCTGTAAGAGATAAGTGGTTGAGCACTAAGGTTCAATTTCCTTTGGGAAGTCGGCGGAATAAAAATCGTACGAGCGGTGGCATCAGTGGTTTATTGCAAACTAAACCGTGACAAGCAAAGTGGACTGTACGAAGAAATTTAATCACGTGGAGGGTAAAACATAGGCATATCGACATATATACATAACAATTAATTAAGTATTATTTATAGTGTCAAATTTAGGTATTCTTACATATAAAATGTTCCTAGAATACTAAACAGTAAGTGAGCAACCTAGACTTGATTTGGCTGTGAAGTCCCTGTTCGATTCCCGTGAGTTCCCATAACACAACTACTTGAATTAAATAGTGATTAGAGCCATATTGATGTTGCGGTGTCCAATATTGTAATTGGAGAGTTCGCAACTTCTGTTACAAATAAAGGGTAAGGACGGGTAACAAAAACATTGTTATTTTTATATTCCAAAAAACAAAGTGAAAAACTGTTATCTGCGCTATAAACTTAGTATCTTTCGCATTCTACGAACATATATTGCGATTCAAACTTAATGGCGGCTCTAAAGGTCGAATCCGGGACCGCTGGATCTTAAATATGCAAAGAAATGAGTGTCACCATCTCACCTTCAACCAGTTTCTTATAGTCCAACCATATCCCGGCCGCGTTTCTTGTTGTTTTTTACTATATGAAGAAGAGAACATATCCCCTTGCATATCCCTTTGCATATCCCCATTCATAGGGAAGACCTGTACACCAGCAGTGCGGATAATGATATATAGGATAGGCTAGGCTAAGCTACTGGATCCTAAATATGCAAAGAAATGAGTGTCACCATCTCACCTTCAACCAGTTTCTTATAGTCCAACCGTATCCCGGCCACGTTTCTTGTTGTTTTTTACTATATGAAGAAGAGAACATATCCCTTTGCATATCCCTATTCATAGGGAAGGCCTGTACACCAGCAGTGGGGATAATGATATATAGGATAGGCTAGGCAGGCTGATGCTGATGAAAGAAGAAATCAGTGCCTCTTACAACCTGGGATCCTTTAAAAGAGGCGTGAAGAAGCAACATGCAGGCCGGCAGGGTGAGGATGGCTGGTGTGGCAGGTAGAACTGTTGTACCAGCTATCTTCGCGTCTGGACTTCACCCTCACTTAAAATCAGGTGGGGTGGAATCATTTGTCGGACCTATCAATAATAATAAAAAAAATACCAACGATGAATTTTTTGCTGTTTTATAATGTGTAAAGAAAATTTTGTAGCAGCTATTTGAAGAAATCAGCTCACCTTCAATAACTTTCTTATTGTCGAACCGTTTCCGGCCGCCTTACAGAACGTCTTCATGTCCTTGATGGCCTATTGTTTTAAACTATGTATGCAAAGCAGAGATCTTCCTATTCCATACATAGTGAAGTCGTGTGCCACAGCAGTGGTGACTTTAATAGGTTGACCATATCTGTATTGAAGCTTACCTTCAACCAGTTTCTTATAGTCGAACCGTATCCCAGCCGCCTTGCAGAACTTCTTCATGTCCGTAATACCCGGCTGCCTGAGTTCTAACGGAACGGGCGGACGGCCTCGTCTACCGGGAGTTCCGGGCGTCGCCCCGGGTTTGGGACTAGTGGAGTTTTTAGACCCTTTCGGCCGACCCGGGCCGCGTTTTAAAGGCGTTTCCTATAAAAAACGCATGTTGATCGCAAATAGACATTCTCAAAAATCGATCCTACTTTAATCTTTCTTTATCCTACTAATATAATAAATGTGAAAGTTTGTATGCTTGTTACTCTATCACGCCAAAAAACTACTGAACGGGTTCGTATAAAATTTGGTACGCATATAGTTTATGCCCTGGATTGAGACATAGGACACTTTTTATCCCGAAAATATGTTCCTATACATATAGTTCCTAAGGGATTTTCAAAAAACCAAAGTTAACGCGGACGAAGTCACGGGCTGCCGCTATTATATATTATAAATGTTAAAATATGTATGTTTGTTACTCAATCACGCAAAACCTACTGAACGGATTTGGATGAAATTTGGTACGCATATACTTTATGACCTGGATTGAGACTATACTATACTATATGATACTTTTTTACCCGAAGAAACGACAGGTACTTGTAAGATTCTAAAAAAACTAACTAGAGAGTTGTCATTTTCGATAAAAAGCGATCGTGCAGCAAAAACCTACAACTATAGTTCGTCTATAGGCCTAAAGCTAACTATAGTTAGTTGTAGGTTTATAGACCGAACGATAGTTTCGCCTCTCTCACACTTATCTGCCCCGTTTTATATTTGGTCAATTCTCAAGGTATATGCGTGTGATAAACATTTACAAAGCCTGTACATAGTTAGACCAGTGTTTCTATACAAAACGTAGAGATTTGCCTCCATAAACTCGGGCCATGGAGCGTAAAACAACTTTCGCAATGGCCGGTAATTGGATAGATAACTTTAAGTAGTTAGCACCCACATGCATGGTGCATCATAGCCCATTGTTTCTAGATTAGGGCTAGTGGAGTTCTTAGTGTTTCGGTCGACCCAGACCACTTTATAACGACGTTTTATCTAAAAAATTTAGAAACCTACAATGAAGAGAAAGGCGCAGTTTAAATCCAGACTGATACCTGGGGGCCAATTGCCTAACGGGATTGCGATGGCTATCGCTACTTAGTATAATTATTTTCAATGCAAAAGAAAAAAAGTGCGCGAGGCATTTGAAAACCTTCGGCGGTCAGAAATAACGTCTTACAAAAAATTTTACCTCGTCGCTTTCTTCCGAATCACTCCCTGATGATCCCGACGACTCTTCTGATGATGAAGAGTCTACCGTCGTTACCTGTTAACAATAATTGTAAATGATCACTAAAAGTCATAACCACTAAAAGATACTAAAAGCTACAATAATAATTTAGTGTCAGCGGCCGATTCAGTAACATACAATCTAATTCCGATAATTAGAATTCATCACAATTCTAAAAGGGTATTTGACAGTATTAAGAATAAAGTGCCAATTGTTAGCATCTGTGTTTAGAATGAATATTGGCAGGGGTTTTTACTATTTTTACAAAAAAAATATTCATAATTTGACTAAAAACCCACGAAAAAGATAATAGTTTTCTTATCTATTGTCACGTGACCCAAAACGCTTGGGATTGGCGGAGCCTAAAATGACGTCACACGCAAGTAAACTTCCGGTTAAAGTGACATTACATTGTACGTTTGACGTTTTAATAACAGTCGTGTGACGTCACACACTAGTAAGACGCCATATTGTCCAGAGAAACGTTTTCGCGGCAACTTGAAAATGGAGTTCCTGATTTGGTTATTTTTACTGAAATACACAACAGAATGATGAATATCCACTTTTTACGGACTCCATAAAAATTATTGAATAAAGTGAGATCGTTTTCTAAAACTTGTCAAATACCCTATTATCGAACCAGTACTGTGTCTAACTTCATGTGTATAATGGGGTGGCTGACTACATAAGGTATAATAGGAGTGTCTGAATTTCGTTGTGTATAATGGGAGTGCCTGACTTTGGTGTGCATAATGAGTGTCTGGATTTTATTTATTTATTTAATTCTAAAACAATAACCACAGCAATTTCTTATCATAATATAGATTTTTCCAATAATTTATCTTAATGCCAATAACGGATTTTCATTGTTTGAGTTTTTATTTTTTTTATTTTTGAGAATTGTTTGATTAAATGTAATAATTGCAATCTTATTTAATTTAATTTAATTTAATATGTTATATAATAAGTTAAAATGCAATCCTAAAAAATGTATTTGTTAGATCATAATTATGAACGACGTCAACACTTATAATTGTTGTGTTAACAAGTAAACAACCAATATAAAATATGAATATCCATGTATGATTAACGCAATGTTAGTGTTGCTAATAAACAATAAATAAATAAATAGCATATAAGCTCAGAAAACCCTGTACTAAACAAAGGCGAGATGTGTGCAATGCGTGCGTATAATATGTATGCATGTGTGTGTGTATTATATTTTTGTTTGTATAATACCAATCGACCAACAGGTCTAATTTTTTTGTGTAAATTCGAGTGCCTGACTTTTGTTAGTCCGACGACCGACCTCATCGTGTATGTTCTAGCATCGAGACACGTTATCTCTTATTTAATAGTTAAACGACTCGATTATTTAAGTAGTGTGTTATATTAAATTGACACTAACCTCGTTTGATATGATGCCGCTGGCTTAAAGTTTATCGGCCAGTTTAACTGTAGCCACTTTCTGGGCCGTTTTTTTTATAAATAGGTCCGACAAATTACTCCACCCCATCTGATGTTAAGTGACGGTGAAGACCAGACGTGAAGATAGCTGGTTCTACCTGCCTCACCAGCCATCCTCAACTTGCCGGCCTGCATGTTGCTTCTTCACGCCTTTTTTGGTTCTTCAAAGGTTGTTGAATGGGATCCTTTGGTTGTTGATACCAATTTGAGCCGCTAGTGTGACTAAACGTTTGCGCACAGTAAACACTTCTTTTTTTATAGAAAAATGACTCGATTTCGTTATGAAGTGTGGAATAATGAATTGACATGAACCTCGTTTGACTGACTGATTTTATATCTCTTTCTAGCGTCTTAAAACGTTGTCTCTAATAAGAAAATGTCCCGATTTCTTTGTGTATGAGAAATTGAAGCTTACCTCGTTTGATATGATCCCTCTGGCTTGAAGTTTGGCGGCTGCCAACTTAGCCGCAGCCGCTTTCTGGGCAGCTATTTGTGCTGCTTGTGTGGCTAAACGTTCGCGCTCGGCATTCGCGTCGTAGTAGTTGAATAACACTTCAGTGGAGACGGGCACGTCGCCGAAGTAAACCTCGTTGGGTATGTGAGATGAATCGAGGCAATCGTCGCTCCATCGCCTGGAAGTGGAAAGGAATATGGTAAATGATTTTTGAAGTGAAACTTCTTTACGCACGCTTGTTTTGGGGGGTAAACCGGCGAATGCGTTACGCGTTACGAAAAGTGTGTTCGGGCGAGGCGAACTGGAGTTGAGTGGGGGATATAAGAAAGAGAAAGCAGTGCGCGCGCACATTTTCTTTCTCTCTTTCTCTTATAGCTAGAAAATGAAATATGTATATGTACATACATGTATATATTGTACACACACACACATATATATATATTATAGTCGCGTGTGACGCTCGTAACGTTTCAGCCTTCGGCGAGTTACGCTCCAACTTTCATGCTCGTCGGGAAGAGCTGCGCACACATCTCACACGCATATTTATATATATTTAGTCATGTGATGCTCGTGACGCCATTCCGTTTCATCTTTTCCATAGGATTTTTCAGTTTACACCCTGTCCGAAAAGAAATTTCAGTTCAAAAACAAAATTCGGCGGAGCAGCGATCAGATTTTTAGCCACAAAACACAATATGGATGAAAGAAAATTTATTAGTTATTCAATTGTATGTCCTAATTTCATTCACGTAGTTTTAAATGCCTTAAACCTTTAACCAATCCGCACGAATGTCATACGTTTTTCAACACATTTCACGAATCCCTTTTCACCCTCAAATCTCTTTTCAACCCCTAATCCCCTTTTCACCTACCAATCCTCACTATCACCCACCAGTCCCCTATTATCACCCATCAATCCTCACTATCACCCACCAATCCCTTATTATCACCCACCAATCTCCTTTTCACCCTCGAATGTCTTTCACCCTGTAATCCCCTTTTTACCCTCGAATCCTCTTTTCACCCTTAAAATCCCTTTTCACCCTCAAATCTCCATTACACCCTCCGATCCCCAATACCCTTTTCACCTACGAATCCCCACTATCACCCTCGACTCCCTTTCACTCTCTAATTCTCTTTTCACCCTCGAATCTCTTTTCACCCTGGAATCCAAATTACATCCTCCAATCCCCTTTTCACCCTCCAATACCCTTTTGCACCTACCAATCCCCACTATCACCCACCAATCCCCTTATAACCCTCGAATCCCTTTCACTCTCCAATCACCCTTTTCACCCTCGAATCTCTTTTTACTCTCGAATCCCCATTACACCCTCCAATTCCCTTTTCAGTACTGTTTGACGACCTCCGTGGCCGAGTGGTTTGTACGCCAGGTTTCATTATGTCGCCGACTCGAGAGGTCCCTCCCGGTTCGAATCCCGGTGGGGCAGATCTTTGTGTGATGAATACGAGCATTTGTACTCCAGTCATGGATGTTTAATATGTATTTCTATATAAATATACTTATATATGTACTGTATATGTATTCTATCTGTTACCCTAGTATCCCATTACACAAGCCTTACAGTGCTTACTTTGGGGCTAGGCTAATTGGTGTGAGTGTTGGAAATATTTATTTATTTATTATTCGTCTGCTCGTTCTTAATAACCAACTTACCGGACTTGTATCATAATTAACTATTACGTTGTACGTTGTTAAATATTATGAACTAGCGAATGCCCGAAACTTCTTATTTCTTACTTATTCGGGGCGCCCGGGGGGCGCGGCGTGAAGCCCTGCTGGCGAGGCTGGGGGCTTCGGCTTATTGGTTGAGCCCACAGACATAAATCGAAGAAGATAAGAACGCAACTGTTTATGTACACGTTCCAAAATTTTTTTCTTTGACTATTTTACCAAACTTTTGGGGTTACACTGCGTGCTGATGCGTCTATCTGTTTAGATAATAGGGTATTTGACAGTATTTAACATAAAGTGCCAATTGTTAGCATCTGTGTTTAGAATTAATATAGGCAGGTGATTTTACTATTTTTACAAAAATATATAATTAATAATTTTACGAAAAACCCACGAAAAAGATAATAGTTTTCTTATCTAATGTCACGTGAATCAAAACGCTTGGGATTGGCGGAGCCTAAAATGAAGTCGCACGCAAGTAAACTTCCGGTTAAAGTGACATTACATTGTATCGTTTGACGTTTTAATAACAGTCGTGTGACGTCACACACTAGTAATACGCCATATTGTCCAGAGAAACGTTTTCGCGGCAACTTGAAAATGGAGTTTTTGATTTGGTTATTTTTACTGAAATACACAACAGAATGATGAATATCCACTTTTTACGGACTCCATAAACATTAGGCAATAACGTGAGATCGTTTGCTAAAACTTGTCAAATACCCTATTATTTTCACATCGAATCCAGGGTAGGGTAGGCAGAGAGAGTAGAGCACCTAAGCCACGGTCCGTACACAAATGGTCGGATATATTACCTGTGGAAGTATATGCTGATGAAGTCCTTTGTGAGAAGTATCTGTATCGGAAATATCTTCATGAAGGATCTCTGTTTCGGATTATCGAAGTCCTTTCGGGCTGAGTACTGGTAGGGCGTCCAAATCCTTGCTAAAAACCGTTTCTATACCAGCTACATACTTTTTTTTTATAACGCAGGTAAAAAATCTTTTTACAGGCGACGGCGCCTTTAAGAGGCAGACCGCCGAACGGACCTCACACCTTGCGGGAGCCAGCCCGCAAGTCTTACGGACCCCCCAGTGGCTGACCACCGAGGACCCCGCAACGTTTACAGGCGCTTTACAGTATAATATCCGCTAAAAAGTCCTGCGAATATCTTCTACACTGCTTAATGCGAAGCCGCGGGGTCCCCGTTAGGGATTCTACCGCGGTACCAGCTACATACCTGCGGAACTGTATGCCGCTGAAGTCCTTCCTGAACGGTCGTACTGCGTACTGATAGGGGGCGTGCCTGGGTCGGGGCGGCGTGACGGCGGGGCGGGGCGCCGGGGGGCGCGGCGTGGAGGCCTGCGGGCGGGGCGCGGCGCCCGGGGGCTTCGGCTTGTTCGTCGAGCCCTTGGGGCGGCCCCGTTTTTTGGGCTAAAAAAAAATTACACGTATATTATAAAGGCGAGAGTTTGTGAGTGTGTCAGTATGTATGTTTGTTACTTCCTCACGGAGCGATTTGAATAAAATTTGGTATGGTGTTAGCTGACACACTGGATAATAATAATACATAGGCTACGTTTTACTGCGGGAAAATATCCCTAATAAACCACGGGTAACACCGCGGGGCACAGCTAGTAAAAAATAAAAATCATTTATTTCGAGCAACATAACTCAGAAATAGGTACATGTCACTAAAATAATTTTAATCATTTAATTTAATTTAAAATTAATTCAAAACAGTGGTTATTTAATTTAATATAATAATATATAGGTTAAGGTAAACAGATTAATTACGTCACAAAGAAAAATATGATTAAAAATTACCTACATAATTTAAAATTCATTAATTTCCATCTAATAAAAATAATTAAATGTCAAAAGTCAAGTCAATAACTTAATATTGAAATGTCATACACAAAATTTCTTATTTATATCAGACCGATTTATATATGGAGGCGATAAACGCGTAAGAATACTAGCATCTTGTGGGAAAGTTTCTTGTGGCTTACGTACGATACGTAAAGGCGCTGCTTAATTTTCATAGAAACTTTGACGATACGATACGATTACGGGGCTGTCAACCAGTCTTACTAATCTTAAGTGGAATTGTTACTAACGCTTTATGGACCACATAGTTGTTCAAGTAAATAAATTACTATTATTGTTATAAAATTCCTGCTTGCGCCTCAATTTCGTACAGTACATAATGAGTAATAATGTTAAAATTTCGTATTCTCACCTCTAAACTTGACGTAGGCGTCTTGCCCGGAGTAGATCCTGATTTGCCTGACTCTGGACTACTGAACGGTTTCCTCTCTTCTTCTCTCCTGCATGAGAAATTAACATATAATATAAGATTTTGAAATCTTTTTGGTTATAACCAAACTCCATATATGGACTGGAGTTGTAAAATTTCTACTTGTGATTAAGTATTCATTAAACATTTTCGCCATTTACTAATGTAGGGTTTAAATAAATCAAAAACATGGTCCAACAGAACTTAATAAACTATAATGAGCTTGGGTTTTTACAATGCAACACCTACATGCATTCTCCAAATTAATAACTATTTTAATATTCATACAGTAGAATGTATTCATAGTTTAACTTGAAAACTGTTAATTTGATTATTTTTCAACACATTTGCTCAAAAAATGAATTTACGAAGGTTGTATACATTGTACGAAAATTCAGAATTACGGCCTACAGAGCGACGCGTGCGGTAATAGTACATTTTGATATAAGTGCGGTAAGTTGAGAATTACAGCCGAGGCGATATTGTTAGCCCGAGCCGTAGGTGAGGGCTATAAGAAGGCAGAGACTGTAATTATCAAACCGCACGTATGTCATACGACGTTTTATAACACATTTGCGACGAAATAATAATACCTACGTACGTACTTTCTGAAAATGAATTTGCACCTTTGTTTGTTTTCCATAAGATGAAATTTTGTTTGTAAGTATCTATCCGTGGATTTTTCGGGCAAGAGGCTTAGCGTAGCCTTTTTCGACTTCTGGCGGTGTGAAATTAATAAATTCGTTACTACTTGACAATATTTTGAAATAAAAACAATACAGCGAAAAGAAAATAAAATAACTTTTTCACAGATTAGCGATGCGCGCGCATCAACGCTTTTTTAGGCAAAGGAACAAAAAACAGCCAGTGTTACTAATAAAGTAAATTAATAGTTTTGTGAATTTGTTACCGATACATGGTTGTAACTTATTGTCAAAATGAATACAATTAAAGAATTTAAATGTTTATATATTATATTTTATCTCCCAAAGTTAATTTTATTAAGAAAATGTTGGCTATCTCTCTGACATAAAAACTCTTTGCTAAGATTTAAAAAAGTGTCGTTCGTTTTTAGACGGAACATAATAAGCCGTGCGTATTACTTTACATTACCGCACCCGTGTGTAATGTGATAAATTATGATATTGAAATTGGTGCAATAAGAGACGCTTTACGAGCAAATGTGTTATAAAATTCATTACGCATGCTCCCATACATGGCACCGTGCGTATTCTTAATGGTTTTTTTTTATTTCGATCGAACCTCATTCGGAAGCGCTTTAAGTCCTATGAAAAAGAGACGAACTTCCACCGACCGAACGTGGCGCCATTTTCTTTTTTAAAAAAAATGCTTCATTACTTAAATAATGTCTGTTTTCTCGCAAATATGTGGAAAAACGTTGTATGACTTTCGTGCTGATTGGTATTACAAACGCGCGACTCTGGTAAGCTCACATTCGTCTACCTGTTAGTAATAACCAACTTACCGCACCTGTATCATAAATAACTATAATGTCCCTGATCATCCTTCACATTGAATATATTTTTGGACCTTCGTGCTGGATGCGAAAGTGACATTAGGCTTTTTGTAGTAACATCATGGAGCGTCATATTAAAATCTACGCTTGTAATCAAGAATTGAAGCCCCCGTCTGTGGAAGCAACCTCCACCTTACAGAAGAGCACAGTGGCGGCGACATCTACCATGCCCCACACATAATCAACATGGAGGAAATAGTCACTCGCATCCACAAGAGATGGCGCTACCTGCGCTGCGATCACAATAGTATGGAAGCCTAAATCGCGCAAGTAAAATTCGGAGGCTAACACTCTATAAATACACTCGAAAAATCTACATAGTTATCAACGTTATTAGCAACCAAAAGGATTATTTGATATTTATTTAGAAAACTTACGATTTATCAAGGGCTGGGCTTGCTTCGGTAGTACGTTGAATATCAACGGAACCTTCTTTCGCGCCTTCCAATTGGCATGATTCTGCAAAAAAATCATCAAAATAAACAAAAAAGTACAGCAAGTAATTCAAAAGGGTTCTCCTATTAGATTTTAGAGTACGAATAAGGAAAAATGTTGCTGTTATATTCATTGTGTATTTCCAATATAAACATTTGTATTGGTTTTGCATAAGCATAAGGATTGCAGAGCATGCCTCCTTGATTTACCCTTTGCCAAATTTATTTAATCTCTTATGGCCTCTTAAGTTTCAATAATCAAACTCCGGTAAAATATTGGTCTAACAGTTAAAAAAAAATCTAGGGATTATTATATATTATTTAGATTATAATAACAAATGTTGCTAATAAATGGAACAAGATTATCCTAACATTTTACTGGAGGTTGGTTATTGAAACTGGTTCTTAATAAAACTCTTCATATAATTTTGACAACATCAACCTATTAATGCCCCCACTGCTGAGGCACAGGCCTTCAATTATGGATGGTATAGGAAGATTGGGCCATGACCCACCACGCGGGCCCAGTGCGGATTGATGGGTGCTAACGACTACAGATCCAGCTGGGCCAACGGCTTAATGTACAATCGCGGAATTTTGCGCTCTGTCACTTGGCGAACAAAATGCTTTGAACGGTTTTCTACAGTAGTTTTACTACGCCCCGCCTTCGCGTCGGACGCGCCAATCCGGGCCGCCACACAAAAGTAAGTCAGAGAGCATTTCATTGATTGAATAATGAATCGAATTGCATTTGTTTTAGTTGCAATTTGTCATCCACATCGTGATCGCGATAGCGCTATACGAAAAAGTAAGACAGCGATATTTACATGTCTATGAATGAATTTTTAATACGCCGCTACCGCAAGCGATTATGCTATTATGGGTGTCAGAGCGGGTCTTTCCGCGAGTGTACCTTCCGAAGCACGGAGGAGGTGGAAATAATACATTTTTGATCACCCATCCAATGACTGACCACTGCGAAAGTTGATTATCTTCAACGATCACTGCCGAACGCGCTAACCACTTGCGCCATCGAGCTCGTTTTCTGTGCCTGCCTATAAAAACGATTGCCCGTGTATCACAATAAATATATTAAAATTAGAAAAACCTTACCTCCAGATTTGTCTGTGATTTTATTCTCTGCACTCACGGGCACATCATCTGCAAACATGCATTGATTGTTAAAATACGTGAAAAGGTCACAATTTCAGTAGCAGCTCAAAAACGATTCAAATCTCACCTCTACTTTGTAGTTCTGGTGGTTTGTGAGGCTCCAGAGGTTTTTGAGCAATGTCTATGAACAAAATAAAGCAAACATTTTAAAAGTTTTTTCTTATACACCTAACCAATCGTTATTCAAAATTTAATATTTTATTAAGATGCAAATATATTAAAATAATAGAAGAATGGTTGCACAAAAGCAATATCTTTATTTTGTATTTCTTTATATAATGTATTGTACTGTAATGGCAAAAATAATTCTTTTAGAAGAAATTGTTATGATTTACTATATTTTTAATTTTAATCATTTACCTGCTAGATATTTTAATTTAATGAAAATAATACTAGAAAATAATCCACTCCGTCCAGGTTTCAGATGGGATTCGAAACCTGCATCTTCCGCTATCCGGTATAAAAAACATTGTTGTCATTTATTGGGCACTCACCAAGAGGTTTCTCAACAACAGGTCTTTGGGCTAAGTCGTCAGGTTTAAATATGTCTGTCTTGATTTTTATTTTGGGTTGATCCAGATCACCTCCCTAAAACCAAAGATCCATCAGTTAGAAAGAAAGAAAGAAGAAAGAAAGAAAAATAAATTTATTTGAGACAACACACACACAACAAACAGAACAAAACGCACATATTTCTTTTTTGTCTCAAATCGGTCCCAACTCAGCATGTGTTGATGTTGCCATCAACGCTGGTCTTCCGTTGGAACCGATTTTGTTTCTAGGTTTAGACGACACGAAACAATAACATTAATAAGTAATAAAATAAAGATAACAAAATAAAAACAAAAACAACAACAATGTGAGTTCAGGGGGGCGCCACTATCGCCATGTCAAAATTGGTTGCACCCGGAGCGCAGGTTCCGAACGCGGCCCCGACCAGGTACTCTGTGGCCCCGACTGACATTGCTATTCAGAGACAAATCTGTGTACCTATTGTACTTCTGATTATTTTTTCTTTTTTCTTTAAAAATGTAATCTACTATTTAGACAATTTACAAAAAAAAATAAAAAATATTTTTTTAGTACTAGACGAACGGAAAGACAATTTACATACATACAGTTAACTCATTTATGTCACTCATTGAATGAAATGAATGATATGACTTTTTGTACACTATAATTTAGTCAAAAATTAGTTTAGATAAAAGCAATTCTTTTCAGGCAACCGGTTAATAGGCAATAAATGGTACAATCTACACAGAATAGAAATATTGTGATGCACAGTTGGCATGATCCTCTAAACTTAAACCTAGACAGCAATCTCGCCTTTCCATATTTTAGAGAGCATGATGAGGCCATGCTATAGTGAAATTTAATTTTAGATTTAAAAGATAATACCAGAATCAGGCCCATTGTGAGGCTAATTATCTTTAACTTTATATATTCAGGGCATGACCAAAACTGGTCTGAAAAAAATTATTACATGTTTGTAAACATTGTAAACACTAAAAATGATAATTCATATACTCATTCAGAATAAATTATATCAACTTTTATGAAGTCCATAAACACTTATTAAAAATATGATAGTTTTCAAAAACTTTATACAGACTGCCGATACATATTAAATTTTATAAATCATACCATCAATTCATTTTCAGGATGTGATCTTTTCTGTGCGTCTGTTGGTTCAAGTTTGATTTCTGGTTTCAATTGTTTCACATCTAGAGGTTTCTGGGTGTCGAGTGGAGGCAACAGGTGAGGTTGGGGTGGCCACGCAGGTTTGTGCACCCCCACATCTCCGTACCCTTGGACTGAAAGATACAAAATCAGACATGAACTTCTTTGATATACTATTTATTTCTTCATTTATGCCAATGTCTGTGATAGAGGCGAAGACGTGCAAAATTCATTGAAGATTGATAAAAAAAAAACAGAGCATATTGTCTATCGGAGACAGTATTGGAACATTTAGAAATTAGCAATTTTAGAATAATGAGGTTTTGAAAAAATGGATCATTTTATAGGCTCATAACTAGATAAGTATGAACAATTTAAGTGTGTTTAGGTGTTTTAATAATGTTAAATTAATGAAAATTTAGTTCTGTGTGACTTACTTTTAATTATTATTAATAGTTATTTAGATATTAGCAATTTTATGAAATGTTCTAATAATGAGTCGAGAAAATTGGTATAGGCTCTAAGGCAAATTATAATCACAGGCTCTGAAAAATAGAACATTTTGGAATATTCGGATATGGAATGCAATTAGTTTGTTAGTCACTTAAAATATACCGTTAAAGAACTGCTACACTCATTGAGGCATAAGCTATTATTTATTAATATTTGGGATACGCAAAATATTTTTATAATAAAAAAAAAACAAGTTTATTAAAGAAAACATTAAATAAAATTAATTTTAATCAATTTGACTTAATCTTCATCTGCATTTTCAACATAATTGTCTATAGCTTCAAAATTGGTATAGAAGTCCCAGTTACTTGTTAATTGTTATTTGTTGTGGGCCCCAGTTTCCTCATGGTAACTCAATAGATGGTCCATTGTGCGTGCAGGGTTGGTTGGGATAGCTAACACAGCCAGCCCAGCGCCTTCCAGAAGCGCAGTAGCCTCCTAGGATTCTCACAGGCTTCTAGGAGCGTCCCGGGCATCAATTCCCAGAGCGGAATTGATGACGGTGTTCTGCCATGCTCATGCATACCAGTATCATATGGGCGGCCGTTTCCCACGCACGTCCAGCATTACTAGGAGATCTATTCGGTTAAGATTTAGTAGTTTTCTAGTTAGTCTTGGGTTGAGGCTACGGAATGCAGCCCTCGGTATTGGCCCAGCGGGTGTTATGTCTCTGTATGGTTCATTGGCGAGCCCATGTACGAATTGAATAACGGCAGGAGCGGCTCAGGGCCTTCCGCTTTGTGTACTGCTCCCCTTTTAGCCACTATGACCCTAGATCCATTGGAAGATAACCTTGTTCTCTGTGGCTACTTGCTCCAATGTTAGGTGACATTCGTATACTAGCCCATAAGTTTTACTGTTCCTATCTAGGGCTCTTAAGACAGCCATACTATCAGATATTATGCGTATCTTATCTATAGATTGTGACTTTCCTCTTGAATGACGGCGGTGGCGGCCTGAGTAATAACTATTCATTCCCATTGGAATATTGAGGTGTGAGTACCCAGTGCGGTTGATATATAGATGTTAAGGTCTAGTGAGAATACTCCTGCGCCTGATCCGGATCCTTCCGTCAGTGTATATGAGCATTTCTTCGGTGCCAGACCTGTCCATGTTGGTTTCCTGTAGTTCAATTTGATATTTCTTATCAAATGTGTGTTTCATTGGGATTTTGTCACAGCAGGCTGTTACAAGGGGTTGGTATTGAATAGCCCTTTCCAAAATCTTGGAAGGAGGTCCCTGGTTTCCCGTCTATAGGCCCAGATGATACATTCTTAGCGCTGTCATTGTTGCCTCTTGCTGTATGAACAGATCAAGTGGCGGCAAGTCTAGCACTATTTTAGGGCGTCTGTCGGTTAAAAATCCCAGTATACCCTCGAATAACCTTTGAATGGCATAATGCAAGAAAATCTTTTTTCTTCAAAACAACATGACTGGAACAAGTACGAAATTATCTCTATTTATTTGTCTGGTTTCGGATCCTTACTGGAACATTTGGAAATATGTTGGTAATTACCTAGAAGTGTTCCAATGTTTTACTGAGTTTCTTAGTGGAATATAGAGATTTATTTCGAAAAGGATAATAATCGCACTTACTCCAATAGTGTATCGGAAAAATATTTCACTTTGTAGTTGAATTCAATAATTAACTCAAAACCTCAAATTTCGAAAATGTTCCGGTACTGTCTCCAGTATATGATATACAATTGAGCATTAGAACAAAATATAAAAAAGGTTGACAGCCGATTTACTTACATAACTTACCCATGTGCGATTGCATATGCAATTGGGCCTGTGGAGGTTGTTGTGGCGGGAAGCTCTGGTGATGAGGATAGTTTTGATGCGCCGGTGGGGCATACGATAAGTTTTGAGGCGCGTAACCACCCGGGGGCGGAGGACCATACGCCGCAAACGCATCCGGGGGTGGGTAATGTGTATTATATGCACCAGCGTAAGGCTGGTACGGTATCTGGTGACCATTATCTACAACAACAGAACCAATTATCGCAACGCATGTTCACGCTTATCACAACCATTTAAACTCGCACAAACATCACGCACCTATATAATTCAGCGGTAACCCGTTCCCCTGGACGACTCCGTGCCCCGGCTCACCCTCCATACGCAGCCGCTTCTGATTCATAGCTCTCTCCGCTTCATAATTCATCTTGGTAACTAAAAACACATATGCCTTAGAAACGTATACGCCAAGAAATCACTAAAATACATTTTTGTATCAGCAACACGGTAAAATACAACTTATTCCGTTGTTATTCGTGAAGTATGAAAGACGCCAACCGGACGCTAGCACAAAACACAGGTTATATGCTTAGCAAAAGCAAACACAAGCGTACCTTTGTTGGTCACTGATTGTTATTGATTTTAGTTATTAGAAGCACTTAGAGCACTCCCTGCGATGAATTCAAACATAATAATGCACGATATGTAGTCAAAGTAACTGTTGCATACAAAATATGCATCAAATTATCGGCCTAATGACAGTAAAATTAGAAAAAAACACAAGTGAAGCGAAGTTGAGATGGGGAACATTTATTTTTTTTCTCATTTTTTCATCTAGTGATGTCACTATACACCTTCTAAATCGATTAAATCAACATAAATGGTAAAATTCAAATTATTTATTTTTATGTACATATTTATTTAAAAGAAGACTATTGACTATTTAAATTGATACAAAGAGGCGGATTTAATGCTAAAACATTATCTATTATAGACGTTTTAGAAGACATTATAAAATTATAGACGCGAAGGTGGAAATTACTAAACTAGTTATTATTCTTGTGGTTGAAATTTTACTAATATTATAAATAAATAAAAAATTTAATAATGTGAATTATATAAGATTGGTGTAGATTTTAACCTAAATTTAATTTGACAACAGTGTATCCTTGTCTTTCTCTACAAAGAATGAAAAGGTGAGAATAATGTTAAATTTAGTTTTAAGTTTAGAGAATCATGCCAGATCGTGTCGTTACCAATGTAATGTGAAAAAATATTCTAAATCTTCTTTCATTACTTTACTACATATAAAAGAAAGTGTAAAAAAGTCATTAAGTAGGGACTTTATTTTCCAATGTACTTTCCTTTTCAGTCTAAAAAGTAAGCTAGCATTTCTAAAAATTCTATGAAAGGTTTTTTTATTATTCCTATTGAAAATAAGAAAGCCAATTCGATAGATCAACGATCATTACTATTATTTTATTACCAGCTGTCCCAGCGAACTTCTAACCGCCATAAAAAAATAGAGATTGGTGGTAGAAGGGCGCAAATTTTGGGTTATATTTATTTTTGTATGATGTATCATAAAAAAATTAAAAAAAAATATATCTGAAATTGAAAAAAAAAATAGATGTGGATTACCCTTAACATTTAGGGGGATGAAAAATAGATGTTGTCCGATTCTCAGACCTACTGAATATGCATATAAAATTTCACGAAAATCGGTCGAGCCGTTTCGGAGGAGTTTAACCACAAACCCCGCGACACGAGAATTTTATATATTAGATTCATTTCATTCTGTCGGTTCACGAGCCTGCCTTTAACTCTTAATCCAAATAACTACTAGGCCATCTAATCCGTTCAGAGGAAAACAAAAATAATATGACGCCTAATTTCGCATATTCGCATAATTTCCTCCTGTAGGTGCTACAAACAACAATTTGATACACTTATCTTTTTTTAATTTAAATTACTTACCTCAAGTTTATACATTACTTTTATTTTAACTCTAGTAATAATGATAGTAAGATTTTTTAATAAATGTTCACTAAAATGTAGTAAAATAATTTAATTAACCAAACTGTTATTTAATTTATCGATATATTACATTGGATTAAAAGTCGCATCCTTTAAGAAGGGTTACCACAATTAAAAAATAAGGGATTTTTTTATATTTTTGTTTAATTTGAAGACATACAATACTAATACCTCACATCCTTAATTGTCTATGGCATATGTCTGTCAATATAAATATTTTGAAATATTCAAACTAAAGAAGAAGTTTAAGTCCAACCTCTTTAATTCTTTGCAATAAACATAAAAAATCAAAAGTAAAGAGCAAGAACGGATACCTGCAAATAACAAGGCTTTATACTTTAACAATGCTTCTCCCACACTTGTGCAAAAAGCTTAGCAGTAAAAGTGTGCTAAAATCAGCTTCGGGACTATAGATGCTAGACGACAGTTTGACTGGCAGTTTTTGACGCACATCCAAGAGGTCCCAGCCCACAATCTTGACGAAGATGACCTGAAGGATACATTCCTTTAGACTTCTGTTCTACATATGGTAGAACTTATTCACGAAAGGTAATTTCACAGTATTTGGTACCAAATCTTCGTCGTGATTATACAGGGTTATCGTTGTCATAAGGTCACACTGTAAAAGAATGACGAATAGCCATAGTGTGCCTCTAACTTGGTTCGTTTCGACGGTGACTTAATCAATCGTCCGTACTTTAGTCTGTGGTTCGGAACTGATTGAAAAAATAAAAAATAATATCTTTAATAGAATACTTCGACCCAAACCCGCACAAAAGGAGTTTATGGCGCGATTTAATGGAATGCGGTTGGCATCATTCTATACATCACATTATATATACATATTGTGAAATAAAATTGGTGTTATTTTGTGTTACAATCGTCTGCGCAACTGAAGAATTAGTGAAATCTTTAAAATATACATGTTGTCTATCTCACAGAAGCTTATCGAGAAAGCTGACTCGATCCATTTCGTGCCAAATACTCCCAAAAATATTAGAATGCGTTACACCCACATATTAGCGTTAAAAAAAAGCTTAATACAAAAATAAGATGATGGCTGCATAGCTTTGCCTTTGCCTTTCCCAATACAGAAAGACAAAAGAATAGAATTAAAAAAAAACCGCACACTCTGTTTTGCCGTTTGCCAGTTTGCCCTTTTAGTTTTTTTGATGGTTCTCTCTCCGGCACACTTGAGTTCCATATTTTTAACCGGCTCTCCGGCTTCGCGTATGTGTACCCATTAACGAACTACGCTCGTAAATTAATTGCTTTGCAGATTTAGGAACCTTCCTTCTATAATTTTTATTCAAGAGTTTCAATTTAACAAGTGTGATTGACATTGCAATTTTTCTGTTTTTGGGTTACGTTTCTTTAACCATTTACAGGAGTCAATACCTTCGGCAGACAAATTCAGTGCAGTAAGTTAAATATAATACAATATTCATAAAAACTCGGAAATAAGTATCGCCGAAACTTAGAGTGCAATTGAAAAAAATAAGTATTATTATTACTTTCGTGTCGGGTGATGGCATCCGATATAAATATGTGGTACTTTATTAACTCTAGGTATATCGTGCGCTAACTTTATATACCTTACCGGTCTGTTTAAAACAAGATCTATTTTAGTTTTCTAACTCGACACATCAGGAATAGAATATTAAAGATATTTGAATAATCCGTGAAAAACTCACTAAAGGTGTGATTATCGTAAACTTATCTTAAGTTAAAAGTACATATTCTTAAATCAAATTACTGAATAATTTTGTATCCTTATTACCTACTTTTTACAAAACCTTGATAGTTAAATGTTTTAGTAAATTATCAGCTTTCCATTTATTGCATCATACCTTAAACTAATACCTATACAAAATATATGTATGTATTTGATAAGCATCTATACAATATTTTTGTTTCAATACCTCCATAATTCTTGTGTGACTAAAGGTGGTAAATATACTGTAAAGTACTACTATAAATTGTAATTACACAAGTACCTTAAAAGTAAGTTTTTTGTCTTTTTCCAATAAGGGTTCATCATCATGATCAGCCTGTCAATCCCCACTGCTGGGGCACAGGCCTTCCCTACAGATGGAATAGGGAGAATGGGCCAACGGCCAATAAGGGTTACTTAAGATAATAATAAAAACACTACATCAACCTGTTTTTTTTTTAATACTGAAAAGTCTATACGAAATTGTAAGTAATTATGGCCTTTCAAGACATCTGTTCCTTTTTATCCTCATTATGTGTATGCCCAGAGCAAATGGTTGACAAATAATTATATATTGATAAATTGGCATTTGCAAATTTTAGAAAATAATAACCTCAAGACTAGCCAAGTATATTTATTCTTTGTTTGTCCCACATCAGTTTTAAATTCTCTGTTTGTCCCGAATTCCTAACAATTCAAAGTATATTCAACAAAAATTAACTAATCATAATATTTTGTTTTCCAAACATGTTAGTATCCCCCTTATTGTTAAAAGCTTTAATCTCCAGTAACTGGTGGTTATAAAAATAAATGTGAATATCTTGAACAGGTGTTGTTTTCACTTTTTATTAAAATTCCTATCTCAGTTATACAATGTTTTAAAAGTGCCAGTAGGTTCATCCAAAGGCAATGCACTGCAATAATGCAATAAATTAAATAATTGGTTCCAAGGTTAGCATGATAAAATCACTTTGTATTAAAATCGTCATTTATGTGATTATATTAATAAAAATCACAGATTAAATCCAATGTTACATGCACTTATTTTAAGTGGATTTCAAAACCTCAAGCTAAAAATCTGTGTAATGAGTCATTATCTTTTATCCCCATTTTTTATAAAAATCATTGATTTACATAAAAACTTCCTATTCCTACCTTCTGTAAGGAATCAGAATTTATTTACCCTATTTATATTTAACAGGTACAATTACACTCTTTATACATGTATCATTTGTTAAAAGAAAAGTTCGCATTCTATGTGCACACTGCCATAATAACAATGAAAGATATTTAAAAGTAGAACATTGATCTCCCTTTTGGCATGCAAAGTACATACACTTGCGTTATCTTTTTGATGACTGTGTTGCATAGCATGTGAATAAAATATTGGTATAAATAAACATTGCTTTATTTGTTCCAGGTGAAAGAATAAAAACAAATACTAAAATGGAGTGCCATCAATTTTACACAGAGTAAGTACAATTTGTATATCCAATAAAAATAAAATGTACAATAAATATACCTGACCCTCTAGCACCAGCACCACAATATGAAATATAACACTTTATAACATTAACATTTTTATCACGCTCAATTGTCAAAAGACTATTTAGTTTGACAGTTAAGTTAGAGGTGTTTCATTATAGTAGAAAATGAGTAAAACTGCAAAAAAAAAACTGATCATCTGTAGTGCTCAACCCTGACATTCGCAGAATTGTCTACAGAGACAACAGCTAGCCTTTACAAAAATAGAATAGTATAAAATATTTATTTATGAAAGGTAGGAAATAGTGGATTTAACGCTCGAATAGGAGCGCCTGCCTGGGGAAGTATCCTCCAACTCGCATAAGATTATAGTGAAATACTACTACCCTTGTTAGTAGATCACTGGAGCCATTGTGACAATGACAAAGGATCCAGGATGGACTCAGGGTAGGTAATGACCCAAGAGATGTGGTATAGGTGCATTATTAAATATATGATTTTGTTTTCAGATACGAGGAATTAGATACAATGGACATTATGAATGCCACTGTGGGCCCGCCAAACTTAGATGACGAGGCCGCTCTAGAATCAACAATGAATATAAGTACCATATTGGAGGCTACGGTAAGTACTTACAAGATCAGAAATTTTAAATTTGGACAAGTTTAGATTTGTAGCCTGTGCAGACGAATGACTTTTGTCGGCGGACTTTTTTGGAATGTAACAAAAAAGAAGAAAAAAAGAAATGCACATAACGGCATACAAAAAGGCTGGGGGCCTTGGCCTGGAGCAACTGAAGATACCGAGAGACTAAAGAAGACAAAAGTACGAGGAGCCAAGACAAAATTACGAGCAGCGCCGACAAAAATAGAGCTCATGTGACTAGTCCCAGCGAACTTTAGTCCGCGTTGCGCGCTCCATCTGATTTAAAGAAATGGACACAGTATACTCATTTAAAGAATTTTCGCTTTTTCTTCAATTTCATTTTAATTACAACACAACCTAATCTGAGAATATATTACTTCCATAGCATGCGCTTTTCAAAATTTTAGGGGGACAAATTCTCACTTTGTATTCATTGAGTCCGTGACAAGTCCTCAACCTATATTTTTTTCACGAATTAGGGACTTGTCCTCTGCAGAGAAAAGTCCTTCATCTACACAGGCCATTAACATTATCTGTCATTATTTTTTTATTTTTAGTTAATTGCACTTTTTTAAATCATCTACAAAATTTCAAAAAGTGTTGGCAATACTGTTTTGTTTTTATGTATGACAGCACACGAAGAGAGGTAGGGCATAGCGGATTTTGCGCTCGAATTGGAGCGCCCGTCTGGGGGAGGTACCCTCCACCTTACAGAAGACCACAGTAAACTAACACTATCTTTTGGTGTTGTGTTTCGGTGAGCAAGGTTACAGGGATCCACGGGGTAGGGGTTTGGCGCAAGCGTCTATAGGCTGTCGTGTCCACTTTCTATCAGGAGGGCCATATGCTCACACTTTTAACATAAACAAACATGAACCCTGAAAACATTACACTCCTCTATCGGCAGTTGTGTAATAAATAACATTACGTGGTGGTGAAAGGAGCATTTAATTAGGCCTTCTATTAAATAAAAATCTAACTACAAATTAAAACGTGCCTATGTCAATGATTTTTCTACTAGAATCTAGGGGTAGTGTGTTTGTTGAATCTGAAGTTATTTACAGTTGCCTCTGTTCGGTCCGCCCGACCGCACGCCCATCCAGAACAACTGCAATTTCAAAGTGGAGATCAGCAGCATTAACACCAACCGACGGAAATATTTGGTGAGTACTTTAAGTTTTATTTAAAAGACCCTCGTCGGCGAATCAGCCCGCATTAACTTTAGAATTCATAAAAAGGACCTGGGGGCCTACCGCCAACGATATTAAAAAACCTAGGTGTATCGAGGTTATTTAATATCGTTGGCGGACAACACGAACAAAACCATACCCGAAACCTGTCCAAAAGGTAAGGTACATTGGACGGTCCACGGAGCTCCGTAAGATGATCGTGTTGTCAAAACAATATAAAGCATTATATAAACATTGAAAAATCACCTTTAAAGCACACTCTATAAGGTCTTTATTAAAACGCATGCGTCAAAGAGTTATGACAGACAGAAATGTAAGGTAGTAAAATATTACGACTTGCAGTGTACGGAACAATATAGACCTTATTTCTTTGATTCTACGCGCAATTCTGAATGCGCTGTCAGCAATATAGCAGGTACGGACCGCGAGGAAAAGTGAAGTAAAAGTTACCCACCATGTATTTGAATATCACAAATATTCTCTATTAAATCAGTTTATAGTAAGTATTAAAACATAATTTGCTTGAAATGCGTAAAATTAACAAACATAGATACCTGTCGAAAAAACGACATTTTACATACCATAAGTATTTATTTCGCTTTTTTTCTCAGCATAGTGACATGTTAATTTTTCAACGGTCCGCGCGTGACTGGGAACCAAGAAGTGCTTGAGTCATGTTCAAGCACTTCTTGATAGGGACACATTTTAAGTGCATCTAGGGTATTTAATACGTTCTTTACCGCTTATCGGGATTGCTTTGGCTATTTGAAAATCTATGGCTCTATCTATGGCTGAAGGTTTTCAAATAAATGCCTCGCGTTCTTTTTGCATTGGTAAGAACAATAATACAGAAAATGCGCGCGAGGAATTTGAAAATCTTAGGCTGTTAGAGATTACAAAATGAAATTGTAAGTTATAGCAATAACCACAAGCAATGTTATAAGGCGATGGGCCTCCGGGGGGCCATTCGTCTACTGGGTTTGCTATGGCTATCGCTATCGCTTACGATTTCATTATGTTATTTCTGACCGCCGAAGGTTTTCAAACGCCGCGCACTCGTTTGTTTTCCTTTGTATAGGTAACAACAATATAAAACACAATGAGCGTAAGGTATTTGAAAACTTTCGGCGGACAAAAATAACAAAATGAAATCTAAGCGATAGCGATACCCATAGCAACTCCGTGAGGCGACCCCAGGGGGCCAATCGCCTAACTGGATTGCTTTGGAAAACGCTATCGCTTACGATTTCATTTTGTTATTTCTAACCGCCGAAATACCTCACGCTCATTTTCTTTAACATTGTTATTACCAATGCAAAAGAAAAAATAAGAGCGCGAGGCATTTGAAAACCTCAGGGGGCTAGAAATAACAAAATGAAATCGTAAGCGATAGCGTTTTCCAAAGCAATTCAGTTAGGCGATTGGCCCCCAGGTCTTTTTTATGATTTCAAAATTTTTTTTTCAGCTACCACATAGATATTTTTCTTGGGGTAGGCAGGGGCGTATTTTAAAATCTAGCGCCCTGCCCCCGTAGCATGAGCACCACAATTTACATTATATCACGTTTTTTATCGCGTCTTACTGTCAAACTCCATAATAATTTGACAATTGAGTGTGATAACAACATATATAGTTATAATATATCATATCGCGATGCTAATACTAGAGGGGCAGGGCCACTGACGATTTGAACATGTATATAAAGAATAGTAAGGCTCAATTTCCCGCCGCGGGATGGGATAGAAAAGAATTTTCACAATGTAATTGTGCATAGCATAATGAACTTTATGCCAATTGTTTAACATACAAACTGATTCCGCTGGAATTGTATACAATTCGGTTTCTATACATTTGACATAAAGTTCATTATATGCTATACACTATTTCGTTGCAAAGATTCGCTTGCATGGAATGCCGCGGTGCGTAGCGGTATAAATTGAGCCTAATTATATTACCTACGACAAGCAGGAATATCGTCGGTTTGCAAGTATATAGATATAGAAAGAAATGCAATACGTCCGATAAGGTCCCGCTAAGCTAATGGTCAAAAAATTCGCCTAAATAGTGTAATGGTCAGGACACTTCAAGACAGGGCGCACTTATAAAAACAACTTTATTTACTTTACAAGAAGGTACAAATGCGAGGCATAGCGTAACGCTCCTGCTAGGCATTTTGTATTCTCTCAACGGATTGTATAGTAATTAAAGTTTTAATGATGCTTCTTCAATTTCGTCTGACACCAGAGAAGATTTTTTCTATTAAAAATTTCTTGAACTAATTTTGCAAGGACTTCCAGATTGTGCGAAGAGTTAAACATTTAAAAATTTGAATTCACTTCTTATGTATTTGTTAAATCAAGACTCGATTCGCTCATGAAATTTTTCTCCCCCAGTACTCGAGCCTGCTAAACCGGATATACGTGGATATGAACTGCGACTTCGCAGTGCAATTTTCATGGGAGAACATACCGATGGAGAAGCTGTATGTGCGAGCCACTGTAGTGTTCACCGATAAGGATCAAGCTGAGAAACGGGTCGAGCGTTGTATGCAACATAGACATGACAACATTGTCAATGGTAAGTTGAATACAACCATTAAATATAAATATATAATAAATACAAAAATTAACTATTATGTATTAAAAAGTGAATCTTTAACTACATCGCCACAAAGGAAACGGTTCATATTTGTATTTAGGACGGTAGTGTGTCTCCAGGTGACTCCAAATTTTTACAAGATGTAACGCAATTATTTGTAAGTCATTTGACAAAAAACTAGTGTTTATTTTATTCCTGATTTTTTTAAATAATTACAGTAATATGAAATTAAATAATAATTGATTGGCAAATGGGAAGATTATTTATCTATATTTTATTGCCAAAGCATAAAATATATTCTTTTCAAAAAGGCTAAAGCAGTGATAATTATTTTGTTCATATTTCATTACATAATTAGATATTTTGTGGGGTTTTTTTTTATTTCAAGAGGAAACAATCATAAATTAATATAATAAGATTCGGCCATGACCCATCATACGGACCCAGTGCGGATCTTTCGGAAGAATAGAGAAGCTTGACATAATAAGTTTTTGGTCACCCATTCGATGGCTGAACATTGCGAAAGTTGTTTAATTTCCACGATCGTAGGCCGAATGCGCTAACCACCTGCGCTATCGAGCTCCTCGCTAATGCTTGACAGTTCATTATTCACTACACCGTTCTATGGTAAACACTCAATATTAATCAGTCACTATCTACTGTTAGAAGTCCGTATACAAGCAAGAACATTTTTCTTGCACTGTTTGTTCCCCTTTGTAACCGTTCCGAAATCGAGTCTGTCACTGCGCGGAGCCTAACTCCCTTATATTATATACGCTAACATATGACGTTATGGTATATCAAACATTTCACTAAGTCTGATACAGTCTGTCTTTCTGCTAGGATTCAGAAAGTATTTATAAATGAAGCTGAGTCTACTAGAGCACCAATTTCTATGGGCATGTCCCAGGGTTCAATATTAGGACCACTGCTTTTCCTTCCTTATTTATATTAATGACCTTCCTCATTTTACCAGAGAACTGTGTGAGACAGTACTATTTGCTGGTGACACATCTTAAGCCTTTTCTTCCTTCACACCTAACAGAGTCCATCCGAATGAACGTATTACGCTCGTCCCGCGAAGTTGGCACCCAAGGTGTCTCCTACCATGGGATCTCGACCCGCGCCGACTCGTGGTACTCCGTAGTAGTGGAGTTGCCGAACAACGGGCAGCCTTCATTGCACGCATTCAAGTTCGTCTGCAAGAATTCCTGCTCTTCGGGAATCAATAGGAGGCCCATCTCGATCATATTCACCTTGGAGGACGCTTTGTGAGTAAATTTTAATTACAATCATCATCAGCCTATTAATATCCTTACTGCTGGAGCTCAGGCCTTCTCTATTGATGGAATAGGGAGATTGGGCCATGTCTAGTGTTGTTAGGTCCGATTTGTTTTAAATCGGTACATGAGGTCAAAAAAATCGGGACTTAGTGTTGCAGATCGGGACAGTAAACAAAAAACAAGGGGTTTTTAAGTCTGGGTTTAATTTATTGCGTTTTAAACTACTAATGCAAGTATATAATTATATTAATTATCTCAATTTTATTTCTTGATTAATCGGGACCTTTAGCGTCCAGATCAGGTACAAATCGGGACGCGTCCCCAGACCCCTGAAAATCGGGACAACACTAGCCCTGACCTACCACGCGGGCCCATTGCGGATTAGCGGGTGCTAACGACTGCAGATGCAGCCGGGACCAACGGCTTAACGTGCCTTCCGAAGCACGGAGGAACTCGAGATAGAAGATTTTTGGTCACTCATTGGTCAGTGGTCGGTCATAGGATATGACCGACCACTGCGAAAGTTGCTTAACTGCAACGATCGCAGCCGAACGCGCTAACCCCTCGCGCCATCGAAATCCTTAATTACAATACTATTTACTAAAGATCTTTTCTGAAGACGCTTTCTCTGAAGATATAATTTCTGACTTACTTTGTATTGTATAAGTAAGTACTAATATTTATTTGCATAGAACGCGACACATTTGACTTTTGAAACATCGCCCCAAATTGTTTCGTTGTTTTTCTTTAGCAAGTCGCATTGCATTTTTAATTGTTATTAAAAGAATCGGATCTTTTCAACGAGCATCGGCGGTTCAGTAGTAGAAAGTTAGCCTTCTATGCTCGGCTCGAGTTCGATTCCCAGACAATCAATCACATTTTTTTTATAGTTTACTCATTCCTTCATTATCAGTCTATTAATGTCCTATCTCCACTGCTGGTGCTGGGGCAAAGGAGCTCTACTCTCTTTCTCCGAAACGAAATTTCGGTAACGAACTAATTTTAAACGAAATTTCTCCAATAACTCTACTCTATTTCATTTTAAAACACGCTCATTAAGTTCAGAATCACAGACAATTTTCGTGAACGAATGGAATGAGTCATGTTTGTGAGTTCTTTTATCTGCACTTTTTAGATTACCTGTTTTACTTGGAAACAATATTACTTTACTACAAAATTTTTGATGACATTAAAAGAACCTTCTTTGACATTGTTAGCCGACTAATTTGTAGAGTTGATGCACTTCATTAAATGTCAACCTAAATTTGTCGTTTAATACTTTGAAGTATTGGAAATACAATAATCAATTAAAATTTGGTGTATTTGTTAATTTGACATGCTAAAAAATGTTCCTCATGCTAAGCAGCCTTGATTATAAATACTCTAGCAGTCATTTTAGGCTTAATTTAAACAAAACTTCCAAAACGAAAATGAAAAGCTTTTCATTTCGTCAATTTGTGGTTAAAATTTCGAACAATTATATGTCAAATTCAACTTTTAGTTTGAAAGTGTTGTGAATTAGAGTAGGCTTGGAGAATTTAATTGTCAAACATTTTCGGACGAACAAATTTTCGAAATGAAAAGGAAACAGAGTAAGAAACGTGCGAAATTTCGATCGGAATTTCGTTTTTCGTTGAAATAGAGTTTCCCTATGGATAGAATAAGGAGATTGGGTCTTTAAAAAAGTTGCTTAACTTGCACGATCGCAGATCGAATACGTTAAATATCTGCGTCATCGAGCTGCTAGATTATAAAGCTTACTTTAACTTTATACAGTGTTGGTTGAAAAAAATATTTCTTTACTATAGGAATAAGATAAGCCCACCTTTGCTTACTATGTATTTCACTTGCTGTTTTGAATTTTATATTTTATTTAAGGCATTTAACTAGCAGTTAGACTAGATGTTTTGTATCTAAAGAAAGTATTACTAGAACAGATTCCACGCGGACCTGGCAGCAGAAGGGACTCGAGCCCGCACCCTCTGCAATCTGGGCGGATCCACTGACTTATTATGCTGCCGCGGCCGTGTCGAAATTTCTCTAGTATTTATTAGACGTCTGCTGCCTGGTCCGCGTAGAATTTTTCCTAGTAAAATTTTCTTTACATTTCTGTTTAGAACTATTTGATGCAATAAAGGGGTCGCCTTTCCTCTGTATATATTTCTGTAAAACTATATGTATTTCTGAAAAACTATCTTATAGTGCAATAAATAATATTCAATTTGACGACCTCCGTGGCCGAGTGGTTTGTACGCCGGGTTTCAAGGTGTCGCCTACTCGAGAGGTCCCGGGTTCGAATCCCGGTGGGGGCAGGTGTTTGTGTGATGAATGCGAGCATTTGTACGCCAGTCATGGATGTTTAATATATATTTCTATAAAAATATACTGATATATGTACTGTATATGTATTCTATCCGTATACCCTAGTATCCCATAACACAAGCATTACTTTGGGGCTAGGCGAATTGGTGTGATTGTTAGAAATATTTATTTATTTATTCTTTAAACAGCGGTAACGTATACGGTCGAGAAATTACCGGAGCTCGAGTTTGCTCCTGTCCTCGCCGCGATTTACTTAAAGATGAAGAGAACGAGGGAGTGTTCCGCAGCGGTAAGAAACGGGCCAATACCAACCAGAACAACACAAGTAATTCCAAGAAGGTAAAGATTGAAGTAGCCCCAACCAGCCCGGCCACTTTGGACACCAATATACTGACTTTACCGCAGGTAAGAGATCAATAATATATCCATACTAACGGCCCGCGCCGTCGCTTCGCTTCGGTGTAGACTACAGTTTTTGTTCTCAGGCTTGTATTATACACAATGACATTCATCTATGATTCTTCTTATACCTGCATGCAAAGTCTCAGCCCGATCGGTTTAAAATTGACAAAGTTTCATTCAAACTTGCATTCCCTATTTTATCCCCTTCGGGGTAGAATTGATCAAAATCCTTTCTTAGCGGATGCCTACGTCATAACATCTACCTGCATGCCAAATTTCAGCCCGATACGTCCAGTGGTTTGGGCTGTGCGTTGATAGATCACTAGGTCAGTCAGTCACCTTTGAGTTTTATATATATAGACTAGCTGACCCAGCGATTTTGGTACCGCCATAAAAATAGGGGTAGGTGAAAGAAGATTCCTCCTAACCCATATGAGAACACTACGTTACAAATCCCAATAGTTTGAATTTTGGCGCGAAGGCGCATTGTAGGTTTCAGAACATTACGTTACGTTACTACGTTACAGGTGGACAACCATTATCACTTAAGGATATGAAAAATAGATAGTATTTCCTATTCTCAGACCCACGGAATATGCATATAAAATTTCATAAAAATCGGTCAGGCCGTTTCGGAGGAGTAGGGAACTAACATTGTGACACGAGAATTTTATATATAAGATTCATCAATCAATAGTCAGAAGAAACGAGCTAATACCAACCAGACCAACTTTTGAAAACAAGTTGAAGGTTTCTTCGATCAATTTAATAGAATAATAATTAATTTAAATTAATAAAATTTAGATATAAAGGTGGGGGGGTAATCGTCCTACTCGAACAACAATTAGCACTTTAAAGTTCAATATGTCGCAAATGGATCCCTAATTTTAAAAATAGTCTTAAGAACCCCTAAGTATTTAAAAAAAAATCTATTCAACGATATATCACACCCCAGGTTACATGTAGGAGCTACCCTAAAAATATATTTTTCAAAATTTAATTCTACCATTTTGTCGGCGTGATCGATATACATATCTCCACAAAATTACAGCTCTCTAGTGCTAATATCCTTCAAGCAAAACTGAGGACGGACAGACGGACATGACGAAACTATTAAGTGCCGCCGCACCCGGGCCACCGACCACAACCACAAACGCCGCCTCCGGAATATTTCTTGTAGTTTTCATACATTTTATATGGACTCGTCACACACGGTACGCCGGTGACCGCCACACGCTACAAATCGTCATTGCTCGCTTCTTATGGCCCGCACCGGCCACTTAATGCGCCGATACACACGTCACTCGCGCGATTCCCCACCCCTCTCTCCCTTACCTTAGTCGGCCGCTGTCGCGCGCTTCAGCCACTGTAGTAGCCGCTTCTAGCTTCTCGTGGCGGCGGCGTTTGTGGCTGCGGCGTGTGGCCCGTGTGCGGCGACACTAAGGGTTCCTTATCAAGGTTGACTGCGGAACCCTAAAAAGAGTAACATTCAACGCTCTTAACGCGAGAACGGGCGATGCGGAACACCTTAAAATTAAATAATCTTTCAAATTATGTAATATTTTAACTTTTCTGGAGTTCTTTTTGGTTAGTTAATACAAAATAACAAATACATAAAACTTGCAAATGAATAAAAATCTTTTTTTTTTTTCAAAATTTCCACCTTGCTGTCTCTGATGACTGATTTCAGCGAAAAATAGCTTTGATGTACTACTTTTTGTATTATTATTATGAAAGCTTAGAGCCTAGCGCATTCTCTGAAGAAGCTTCTTAGGAACTGAGAAATTGTCAATTTAGATTTTTAATTTTAAGTTGAATTTTAAATGATAACTCACTTAACATAAATTCTCTTTTATTTTATGCATAAATGCGCAGTTTGCAGAGATTTAGCAGCAAAAAAATCAATGAAACCTTATACCCTTATTTTCGAAATTCTTGTAACTGATTGACGGTCACAATTTTGCAAAAAATCATTAAATAATTGTAACTCGAAAACTATGAATAATCGTAGGACATACATAAGAGTGATTCAGATACCTCACAAGAGGCTCCACAAGGCACCTACAAACCTACCTGGCTACCCTGTATAATTTCTTTACCAACGTAAATAAAACAGTTTGATAAATATTTAAGACAATATCTGGAAATTGACCTGTCCCCCAAGTTATCTCCTAAATTACTGTGTCAAAAACACACAGGAAAACACCGCAATCCATATAATAAATGCGAAAGCATGCCTGTCTGTTGCCTCTTCACGCTTAAACCGCTGAACCGATTTAGATGAAATTTGGTATAGATATAGTGTGAGTCCCAGGAAAGGACATAGGATAGTATTTATCTCAGAAATCATCTTTTAAGGGGTGAAAGGGGGAGGAGGGGTATATGGGAAACCATTTTTTCCATGCAGATGAATTTTGCGAGGACGCACTAGTATGCTATAAAGCTCGTTTTTATCACGCTATACTGTCAAATTATTATGGAGTTTGACAGTCACACGCAATAAAAAAACGTGATTTAATATAAATTGTGATGCTACGACCTCCTGGGACTGGGCCCAGTATTTTTCTAGTACAAAAATTTCTTGAGATTTTATGAATTAATTAATTCAATATTATACTTGCTTAGTTTGGGGGTTAATTTATTTATCATTTATATCATTTTGCAGCTTCAAGTGGTAGGTCATAACGTTTTAGTAACGGGTCTCCAAATGATGGTGCAAATGATGGCACAAGGAATGTCTGCAAGAAGTGATGACCCTCAGTATGTGGCCAGTTGCACCGCCTGTATTACTGGCCTAGAAGCAGCCATAGAACAATTAAAGACCGCCAATCCACAGTGAGTCATTATCTTTAAATAGTTTTAAGTATTGTATCGTTAATATAAATTAGATTAGGTATGCCTCGGGTACGTAGTTTTGGAAAAGTCCTAATTTGTAATTTACTTTTCTAAATTCATTAATAAAACTCTTTTGAAATGCTTATGAATTGGGTCTAGTTTAATATTTATATGGGCGTTTTTAAAGAGAAACCGACCAGCGGGCATTTTAGAGAGACAAACTTCTTAGCAGTCCATGGATTCATGGAGCGACAAAAACTCTAACCAATTCCCATGACTTGCGACTCAGCTGATGAATTCGCTAACTTTATTGACATTAAAAGTGTGTAACTAAAGAGAGAATTGCATATCCATCGATGATTTTCAGATCAAGTTTCTTAGTAGCGTTATAATAAAGCAGTTAGTGGGTCAGTAAATAGTTTGGTGATTGTCACTTCATTCTGTTAAAAGCAGTTAGGGAATAGGCCTCAGGTGTAGGTTCAGTAGCCCTCTTTGAGATGCGCATCAGCGCTTACCTTCACTGCTCTAATTGCCCGCCCTTCCTTACCAAATTTAATAGGAGCCTGTTAATGCAAGCAAAAAAATTTCTACGAACCTTTATGAGGAGCTGGCGAACAAAACAGTATAATTACATAAAATTAAATTTTACAGAAGCTGAATAAAACTGAATGACGTATCTCCAGTGAGCTTTTGACATGGTTTTTAATTTATATATTTAGTAATAAAATTGTAACACTTTTTTAGGCAGTTTTACGTTTTGAAAATTATTTGAGATTCAAATTCATTGGAGTCTCAAATCTCTCCTGACTGTAAAAAAAAAGTAGTTTGACCAGATACGTAATTATACCGTTTTGTTTGCCAGCTCCTCATATTTCAGTTTAATTCTGTTTGTACCAAAAATGACCAATGGTGGCTTTCTGATTTCACAATCATACATTGTTCACATAACTCAATTTAGCTCAAAAATGCCCGCTGGTCACTTTCTGTTTATCACTATTTTGAGGATTCAAACCAGTTTGAGATTCCATGAAGAAAAAAATTAAAAGAAATCTGGTGAATCTGAATTCAAACTATAAGAGTTAGCCATAAATGATTACATACGCTATTGTTTGAAAAAACCTTTTAAAAGTGTTTTTTTAATTAAATTTTTATTTCTCTTGTTTTTTATAAAGCCATAGTAGTTGCCGCTAGAGGCAGTGCATGTGGTGCTCGGTTAGTACTAATGACTTGCTCACTAAATATAAGAAATCAAATTATGGTTGCTTTTACGAACTATTTAAATTTTGATAGTCCAAGACCACGGAAGGTATTTTTCATAAATTCGTGCTAGTTTGTAAAGAAAACTATTTTAGAAACAGTTGTTTTATTACTGTACAGAAGGGAATTCATTAGTAAGTCAATTTACTTTGGATTTTCTTCTAAAATGGTTATCTGTAAAAACATATGACATTTTATTTTTAATGTTTGGTCTGATTTTATAAAGTTTTCAAAGTTCAATTTTGTTTTCTAATCATGAATGAACACCTATGTGATAAGCAACTCTATTATTCCATTAGAAAATGTATTAAGTACAATTCAATGTGAATCTGGATTCAGCCAACAATTTCTTTATAATCAGGTTAATTAAAATCAACTGAAAAAGATCTTGTTAAAATTTGCTACCACTAATAACTTTGATGATATGTGTTACAGTAGTTATTTCTTACCTTTTTTGGCAAAATGGGTGAAGCATACGCCCCTGGTTGAAAGACGGGGTGATGTATAGATATCGGATAATCGGATGCATATTTGCCTAAAGTTCAGATGTTGGCTATTATAGAAAGCACAGGGAATAAATATATAATATATCTAGTATACAATACTTCCATCCAACTTGTTGTATAAACATAATATATATGTGAAGTGAATGAAGTGATTTATATTTGTATGATACTATGGTCTGTTTCAGAGGCAGGCGGAAAAATGTACAATGACCTTATAGGGGCAAAAAACCTTTTTTTCTTTTATTGATAAATTGTATAATTAAAAATAATATAAATATTATATTATTTTTAATTTTTAGCATTAATCTGCTAATTTTAGATGAGGTGCTCGTTAGCGTAGTGGTTAGCGTAGCCGCCAGGATTGCGCAAGGCGCGTGTTTGATTCCCACCTGTTTTTTTTCTAGTATATATTTTCTTGAGAAAAAATATCATAATTTTTTCGTTTTCCGAAATATGCGACATCTTACGCTTCTTTCGTGGTGACAGAAAACTTTTAAACGGTTTTGATGTCGACGGGGCCGGCTCCATATCGCTTGAAAAACGATATTCGTTGTAATACAAAACCAATACAATAACAAAAAAACTTAACACAAATCGTAACAAACAAAATTAACATATACTTAACACAAAACCTAACAAACTAAATTAACAATAACAAAATTAATAACAAATGATCGAAATTAAAGGAACGATAAACAAAACCAACCACACGGGAGCGCATTCCAAAGCGGAATGCGTGTTGCTCCGCTCCCTCCACAACCCGCGTCCACGCAAATCCCAAACAGGTTTTTAAACTCTGAACGACCGCGTCGCTCAACTCACCCCGTACCACGAAACACGGTACGATGCTTGAGCGACACAGAAATATATGACGAGCGATACGTATCGTTTTCTGTCGACAGTAACATAATACTTCGGGCCAATGCCCTTTTTTCCGCCTGCTTTAGAAACAGACTTTAGTTGTCTACGTATACGTGTAAACGTTTTTTTTTATCTATCTACGGGTTTAGTTGCCAGTGAGAAAATAATAAGTACAATTATACTATCTGAAATAAAAAAACAATTTTTGAATCCAGATTACACGCCCATAACCATGATTATGGTTACTGATAGAGATTGCATAGATATGGAGTTTTTCCAGCGATGTAACTAACCAATGTTACCTAAACACACCCACCTTGTATCTTAATAGTTTTATTTCACTGCCACAGTCCAATAAACACACAATCAAGTGTGATTATAAAATTAATTACAGTCAAAGGTGTCGGTACTCTGTGAATTTCATATTTCGGCTTGATATCTTGGTATCTGACGTCATAGTATAAGTAGCGGCAAACTTCATGAGCATCATCACAGGCAGAGTTGCGCAGTAGATGTTTTAGTATGTAAAATTGCTATTGCGCATCGTTCCATGTCTATGTTCAATGCTCAAGATGTTTGCCGGAATATTATAACACGAATACGAGATTGTTGTAGACTGCAATGAAACAGTGATGTAGATTATGAGCCATTCTTTTTTAATCCTCTAACATAACTTCTTAAGTATCACACAAAATGAAGAGTTGTGTTTAAATTGACAATAATACGGATGACATTATTTTTCATTAGTTATCGATGATTTATTGGAAAGAGATATGTAACTCAATACAATATCTGGTGAATAAGTTTTATCCAAAGATTGAATCGGTCCTAAAAGAAATTAATTGTTTAAAGCTTTACATAATACACATAACATTGATCATGATATTCTTTGACTGTATTCAACATTATTTAAGTTGTAGTTTTAAAACTAAAAGTAACAGGAGCATTTATATTGTAATGTCAATTAAATTTAACTAATTTAAAGTCAGATGTTAAATAAATAATAAAAATTTTAAAAAATGTGTCAGCCATTATAGTAAGGTTTATTAGATAATAGACTCATTTTCTTTACTATTATGGAAAGGACTTATTGTAAATGTAAAATGACTTAACTGGACATAAAGGCTGATTTGCACATTGGAAAGTACAGTAGCATGTTTAGAAATCTGATATTTAAGCAGTATGTACTTAACTGGTAAATCCCTGTCAAAACGATGATAAGAACTAAACTCGCCAAGACGATAAGTTAACTCGTTACTGTACTCACCAAAGTGTAAATCAGTTTTAATAAAATTTAAATAATAATAATAAAATTACACTTTTATATTATTATTTAAATTTTATTAAGGCTTTAGGTTTTTGGTCTTGTTAACGCTCTTGTATTGAAAAGAGACTGGCTTCCCCAAAATTTCCCAGTAATTTTAATATAATTTTAATATTAGTATAATAATTTAGGATAATTTTTCTCAAAATGTATCTCTGGCCATATTAGCTAATGGGTTTCTCAGCATATCTATGCATTCTTTACTTATTTATAATTGTTTTTAAGTATGTTATTAACAGTTTTCAGATAATTGAGTATTGTATTTGATATTGGTTAAGTAGGAGATGATTTTGAATTTTCTGTCTTTTTTATACTTAGATATTTTTATTATTATAAAAGATAATATGTGCGATATCCAGTTTATAGTAAAATAATAATGGTACAATTTACAATTTTGGTTATATATTTTGTATACAAATACAATTTATATGTTTTCTACATGCAAGTTTTACACAATACAATTATTGGAACCTGGATGTCAATCGCCTAACGGAATTGCTATGCCACAGGAAAAAAAACAGTATTTTATTCCAAATTTTACTCTCATTTTAAATAAACAGAATGACATTGGCAATGCGATGAACACAGACAAAAAAATACGCAAAAAGTCCAAATTTTTTTTTTAATGGTTCCAAAAATATATCATCTATCCAGATGATCCAGTTAGTAACAAAAGCTTATAATACTTATAATTACATTTATTTTAATATATATTTTACATTAATATCCATTCGATTAGAAACTGAACTTGTTACTACAATTTATTTTTATATTGATTACTTTAAATGTAATTTCTAATTCAAATTGTGTTTTATGTAATTTTATAATAATGTTTTTTTATTTTTAATTATTTCATTTATTTGACATTGACATTGGAAACCCCTCCAATGCCTAACTTAAACTCATTCATTATTAACATACCATTAGGTTTAACATCGGAAAGACATTAACAAAGTTCAATTCTAATTAGTCTAGTTGAAAATTTTTAATATATCTTTCTAATGCCAAGATATCATGGTAGGAGTTGAAGTGAGATAGGTATTGTGGGGGCAAGATTACTATTAATTTGATTGTTCTTAAATAATGATTCATTAAAATTTAATATCACAGCAAAAATCTATTTTTTTCCTAGCATTAATTATGTTTAAGATAAAGTTTTGTTTTCTATTTACGAACTAATTGATTGTGATCTTTAAAAATGTTTGGAGTCTTCCTAGACGTAAATGTCTCAAAATTATTTTCCATTAGTAGGTAATATAATTATTATGTAAGAGCCAGAAATGAAAATTGTTGTTGTTGACTATATAAACGAATGTGTACCTAATTTTTTATTCTATTGAACCATTTAAACATTAATATTGTTAAAAGATGACCACATTGCTTACAATTTGAATCACTACCTTTCTAGCTCATGTTTGTAGTACCTATATAGCAATATTGCTGTTCACAAAATGAAAACAAAGGGTTTGACATTCCGATACGTTCAGCCAAAAATATAGAAGTAAGTTCACAGTGTATTTGGCACTTTGTTGTTTTTGTTTATAATTATTGATTGGTACAAATAATTGGCTTTATCATACAACACAAGTGCCTTATAAATTCCGCCTTGATTGAAAGTTTAAGATAACATGTATTATTTTGAATTTTTAATAAAAGTTAATTACCAAATTATTTGCTTCTTTCATTTTTTGGTCTATGTGGTCTAGGCATGGAAACATAATGACGCGATTACACTTAAGTCTTTAGCCCGAATACGAGTGCCAATGGAATTCAGGTAGGCGGCTAAGAATAAATGAATGGAGTTGTTGAGTAGCCTATATTCAAACAGTTTTCGTTTTAGTTATCCGGCACGATCTTCCAGTGTAAATATTGCTTTGGGTGCCCAAATTTGAGTAAAGTCTTCCATGCACCCGAATACAGGCTTATGACCAAATGTAAATAAGCCATAACAGACATACCCACTTCAGCATTTAAAGATTAGAACAAGACAGTGTTTTAATGTAGGCGCACACTAGGCGACACGCGACAGCGACAGCTCGGCGTCTAGACGCGACGACAGGCTGCGGCCGACAATTTCATACATGTTGTTCAAAGCTTCGCACACTTGGCGTCAGAGTCGCTGAGTCGCGACGACAAGCTAGTGTCGCTGTGCACGCGCACACACGACGACAGTCGCGCGTCAGCTCTGCGTCAGTCTCGCTGTGAGCGCTGAGGAAGGTGCATATGTGTATTTTATTGAGAATCTCAATATGGATACGTTCGATATCGATGTATTCATTTCGGACGTCGAATTGCGTCCTGCTATTTGGGACTTACGAATTCGTCGTACTCTACGTTTACGCCTTCGCAAGATAAGCACCAAGGCAAGTGCAACTAGAGGCTCCATATTCACTCACAAGATTAACAACACTGCCGTCTCTCTCGAATACTCCACTAGTAATGATCGCTTTCTGTACGATGTCTGTCGTTACGACTAGTCGCCGACGCTAGCGACAGCTCCGCGTCTAGTCGCAGCGACAAGACGCCTAATGCAAACGACAACGCCGCGACAAGTCGCCTAATTTGCGATGTCTCTTAATGAAGCCTTTATTTAGGAAAGAAGTTGAAAACTAAATTCCTATTATTTTTTGCCAGATGGCCCTAAAAGAGGGTAACGTTTTTGGCACACAGGTATGTATGTAAATCTGTTCTGTTTTTGACCCAAAGACTTTATATAATACCTTTTGACCTCTTGACTGATTTTAAAAAATAGAATGTTAATAGATTCCTGACATGGGCTGAGTGTTGGTTTTGTAATTATTGGGGGAAAAAAAATCAGACTTCATTTTTGAACTGCCTAAAAACTATATAAAAAGTCAAAAACATGTTCATAATGAAATTAAGGATATTACAAGTATTTTAAGTTTTCATAAGCAATAAATTTATTTAATTTGTTTTTTAACTTATAATAAATAAAGCAGGATTATTCCTATGAACCTAGTAGTTATATTTTCTACTGCACTACATTCTATGATTCCATAACACTTGTATGTACAAGTGTCGCGTTTGTCAAAAAGGTTTTACACATGGAGCAACAAAATATTGGAACTAGTCATCAAAATTTTACCTTTATTCCCATTAGTTCTGTTTATCAATACTGTTGAGCAAACAGCTCTTTGTTAATCTAAGTCATATTAATTGCAAAAGAAATATAGGACTCAAAAACAACTCAAAAGGTTTGCAATGGTTTTTTGAACTTCTCTAATGGAACATTGTTGTTTGGCACTCATTGAGCTCCTTTCACAGCTGATAAAAATAAAATTGCAATGAAAATCACTTAATTTTTTTTATTATGTCAGTTATATAATTTAAAGTAGCTTTAAATGACCAGTTACTTTGTCCACAACATCTTTAGGAGCCGGTCCAACACCTAATACTGTGATCGAGTTAGGGGCAATTTGTGTTCTACCCGCATCCCTTATCATTGATGTTATCAGTCCCATCTTCTTTGCATTGTCTGCTATTTGCTTGATTTCATCTACTGAGTCTGTCTTAACAGCTACTTTCGCTTGGCCAGTCATTTGCCAGCGTTTTAGTCCTTCTGGATCTTTCCTTTGTGCTTTCTCAAAGGCTCCAACTGCAGCATGACCGCACTGGGCGGCTATTTTACCTTTGCTCATGTTGAGATCTGTCCTTACAACTAACACAAGCTTATATTCAGACTTTGATGTGAACTGAAAAGAAAATACAACAATTTTTATAGGCAGAAAATGCATTGAAATTTATCTCACCATGAAGCAAATTATTTTGCTTTACAAAACTTACCTTTTTAATAGCTTTAGCTGTTTCAGAAACGGAGCCAAAGTACTTTTTGAGAGCAAACAATGAAATACCAAGGCATATTCCACAGCCGAGGCCGGTCAAAAAAGATAAATTGAAATCCATTTTGTGTTTGGAAGAAATGGTTGCTATTTATAATAACAACCACAAATGTTACAATTTTACTTTCAATTCAGTAATACTAAAAAAATAGTGATAAAGCAAGCTCGAACTTAAAAATAACCTCAAAATTCACACAAACAATATCTATTAGTGTCAAATAAATGTCAATGTCACATAGCATTAGTAATTTAATGTCTATGATTTTTTGCCTAAGGCCCGTTAAAGACGAAAGATTTTTTTAACAATTCAATCGGCGAGTCAGTGAGAGAATGCTCTTTCACAAAAGCAGCTTGATCAATAATATAAAATTATATTCAAAACTATAAAAACTGAATTGCGGAATGGATGTAAAATTTTAACTTTTGTTTTATTATTTGCGTTCGGATAAAAAGACAATTTTGTGTCTTTTTTATGGATGTTTTAAGTTGAAAGTTAAATTTAATGTTTTTGTTTAATTTTATTTTTAATGGAAAGAGGAAAGATCCCCAAAGTGTAGATAAATTCGATAAAACAAAAAAAAATATAGTCTTTATTGCTATAGCAACAGGCATATTGACGAGAAGTTTCGAAAGTGATTCTTACAAACGTTACAAATTCTAGAAAATAACGCTATTTTAGATAATAACAACACTAATAAGAACAGTCAATTTATAAAGTTTTAAAAAGTTGTTCCTAATTTGCCACAATTTATTAAAATGAAGAAAACTATGAAAGATTTGGCGCCTATTGCCATCCCTCATGGGCCACCTGTGGAGTCTACTGCTGAATATTACAAGTCCCTCATGGAAAGTGCCAGGATGGTCAAGTAAATAAGATTAGCTCATGTTCGATTGCTAACTAAATGACTGAATATTTTGAACAGGCAATAGATGAATCAAAGTAGAAAAGTTCTTTCTTCTCTTTGTATCACTCTATCGGAATCCGAATTTCAAGTTCTTCGACCAGGAATGACGCCCTCTTCCAATACTGCTTTTACCTGCTAGTTTTGTTGGAATAATAAGTTGGGGATTATTACTAAAACTCTGTTAAAGTCTGGGTTTTTGTGGTATACTTAGTCGTTGGTTCCACAGAATAGTACCTACTTCAAGATAAATTACTCCGTAAAATCCAAATTTCATCAGAATCGGTGCAGCATTTTAGAAAGCGTACCGTACTAGACATACTGGCTACTGATAGTGGAACTTTTTTTTTCGGTGAAAGATATATGATCAGAAATTTATGTTAGAACTCCTCCGTGCGGCTGCGGCGCAAGGTTTGTTAAGCAGTTAGTCCCGGCTACATGGTGCCGTCGTCGTTACTCACAAACCGCACAGTTTACCCGCGTGGTGGGTCATGCATGGTTGCCCATTCTCCCTATATCGTCCATAAGGCATGTACAATTACTGTTAAAGTGCGTAGATTTTGAATTTTGCTAAGAAGAAATATCTACAATATCATCGATTCGTTACTTTGCCTTCCTTGATTAAGACACGGCGTGAATTGCACATGTGGTTAGCGCGTTCGGCCTGCGATCTTGGAATTTAAGCAACTTTCACAATGGTCGGTTATTGGTTGGGTGACCAGAAACCTATTATCTCGAGCTCCTCCGTGCTTTGGAATGCACGTTAAGCCTTTGGTCCCGGTTGCTCGCGTAGTGGGTCACGTCACGGCCCAATCTCCCTATTCCATCTATTGGTAAAGCCTGCACCCCTGCAGTGGGGACATTAATAGGCTGATGATGATAATGCTGTATGTGCCAGGAAATATCCAGTATGGGACGTGGCGCGCCCTACGCCGCAGGTGTTGATGGAGCAGGCACGCCGCGACCTGATGGAGGCGGACGAGAAGCTGGCTGCCAAACGTGAGGAGGAGGCCAAATATCGGGTGGTCATGGACGCCAAATGGCAGGAGCTACGCAACAAGGAAATGCTGCTCAAGGAGTCGTTCATTAGCTTTAATAAGGTAAAATGTTTGGTGTGAAAGCAGGGCAGGCGCGTCTGTAGCCCCATAAGAGAGGCCCCCACAACAATTTCGATAGATCACCAAAATCGTTGCCCCAGGGCCCCCGCACCTCTAAATTCGGCCCTGCAGATAACAACCCCATCACCGGGAGATGCTAACGGCGTTATAAAGGGCTCACCCCTCCTTCCGCCCACCTTTTTTTTAAAAAGAACCATATTTTATTACATTTTAAGTTGATGAATAATATAACATAATTGTGACGTAGAAGATTTGATAGTTGGTAGAATAGGCCCATCAGAATCCGAGGCTCGTGTCGAGATGCAGCCAGGGAGGTCGAATGGGTGGGAAAGATAGGGAGAGGAGAGGACGGTTTAATAATAGTGAGAGGCGAAAGGAAGGGGAGAGGAAAGGAAACGAAACAGAAAATAAAGAAAAGGTTTAAAGGATAGGAGTAAGAGTGTAAGGGAATAGGTTTAACAATCTTGCATGAAATACAGCCATTGATGAAAACATTCAATATTAAGCGTCTCACAGACAGACGCCGCCCACGCCCGCGGCCGGAGTCGTGGTGGTTACAGAAATACACATAGGAGAGGCTGCAGCCGCAGGCCGCGTCTGCCTATGAAACACTTTAAACTTAATGATAAAATAACCCCCCAGAAGCTCAACAATGCCCCTTACCTCTCGTGCGGTGACGAAGTTCTTTTCTTTAGACTACATTTAAACATTGTTTTCGCAGCTTACGGTTCACCAAGCTAGGCTTCTGCCTTTTCATGACCTTCAATCAATTCATTTTTACGTCTAGAAGATGACACACAAGTGGAAAATAATTAACCTTCACTTTAGAGAACACAATAGTAAAACCAGACTAGGTAACTTTGGTTGTATTGTGTTTCTGAAGTAAGTAAGATTCAAGGGCTTCGCGTTGATGCTTCCTTTAGGTACCAATTAACATTCAACAGTTAGTGGTTTTATTAAAGTTAATATTTATCTGGTTGACGTTTATTAGCAGTAAAGTCAACTATATTAAATAGCCTAGATACAACAACACGAACAAAATCGTGACCGAAACCTGTCCAAAAGTACATTGGACGATCCACGGAGCTCCGTAAGACTATCGTTGTCAAAAACAATATAAGGCATTATTTAAATATTGAAAGTTACCTTTAATGCACACTGTATAAGGTCTTAATTAAACGCATGCGTCACAAGGGCGGATACAGGGGGGGGGGTCATGGGGGTCATGACCCCCCCCTGGCCTTGGTCTATCTGTACCCACTGTGACTTGATCACGACTATGACCCCCCCTGGCGCCAAAATTGGATCCGCCCTTGTTGCGACAAGCGTTATGACAGTTCGAAATGCAAGCTCGTAAAATTTTACGCCTTATTGCTATATGCCGGAAAAATATACACCTTATTTCTTGGATTCTACGCGCAATTCTGAATACGCTGTTAGCAGTATAGCAGGAACGGACAGGAATTGACTTTTCAACGGTCCGCGCGTGACTGTGAACCAAGAGAAGTGATTGAGTGGCGTTCAAGCTCTTCTTGATTAGGACACATTTTGAGCGCTGGTGGTGTATCTAGGGTATTTAATAGCGTTGAGTAAAGGCGTTTTTCTAATAAACAAGGGAAGAAGACACATTCTATTCAATACTTTACAACATTTTAACAACAGTTACTCCCAAACACCTTACTGTAGTTCATAAGGGAGAACCAGGAGAAGCGCGATCGGGCAGAGAGGAAGATGGAAGCCGACAGCGAAGTCCTGGAGCGGAAGACCAGGGAGACGGAGGCGATGCGCCAGCGAGTGCAGGAAATGGAACAGGTCAAGCAACTCATGGAACAGCAAGTTAAAGACTATACTATTTATGAGGTGTGTATCAAAAAAATATTTATTTCCTAAGGTTTTACGCATACCAATCATATTATTGGATCGTGTGTTTGCGACCGCGACCGCAGAACATGTAAAGGATCTGGAAACGTCAAAAATAATGAAAACAATAAATCGGACTTTAAACGTGTTTCCTTAAATGATTAACAAAAAATTTTGAATTCTTCAAGATTAACATTGAAATCATAAAAAATACAAGGCATACTCCAAAACATCTTAAAATATGAATGATCACGGGGTCAATTACCTAACGGAATTACTATGGCTATCGCTGTAGCTTACGATTTCGTTTTGTTATTTTTGACCACCGAAGGTTTTCAAATACCTCACGCCCATTTTCTTTAATATTGTTATTACCAATGCAAAAGAAAAAAAAACCAGCGTGAGGCATTTGAAAACCTGCGGCGGTCAGAAATAACAAAATGAAATCGTATGCGTAGCGATAACCATAGCAATCCCTTTAGGCGATTGGCCCCCAGAGTGGGCGAGCGCCAGGTCCCGAAGGTCCCATTTATTATATGACGTCGTGATTCAGGATACTCTTGACTATTCTCTTTTTTTCAGGACTATCTTATGGCAGTCGTGCAAGCATATCCCGAGTTCAAGCAGCCATTAGATGTTTTAAATAGATACGAAGCTCTGGGTAACGTTTTTCTGATGATTTACCTATTATCATCGTTATATACCCAAGTATTTTTAAAAGTAAACGCGTGTAAATAAATATACCTATAAGCTTACTAGCGGCCCGCCCTCGCTTCGCTTCGGTGTAGACCTGAAGTGTAGACTACAGTTTTTGTTCTCAGGCTTGTATTATACACAATGACATCCATCTATGATTCTTCTTATACCTGCATGCAAAGTCTCAGCCCGATCGGTTTAAAATTGACAAAGTTTCATACAAACTTTCATTCCCTATTTTATCCCCTTGGGGGTAGAATTGATCAAAATCCTTTCTTAGCGGATGCCTACGTCATAACATCTACCTGCATTAAATAAAACTAGTTTTTACGGGTTAATGCACGAAACTTTATTTATTTATTGACGTTTCGCAGCCTAAGAAAACCTAAGAAACAAATATCTACCTGCATGCCAAATTTCAGCCCGATCCGTCCAGTGGTTTGGGCTGTGCGTTGATAGATCACTATGTCAGTCAGTCAGTCACCTTTGAGTTTTATTATAGATATAGATTTGGACGCCTCATGGTTGGCGGCTAGTGTATAGTGTATATAGTACCGTGTGACTAAACTTTATTTTCACAACTTATGAAAGCTTAGCAGCGAAAAGTGTTAGGTTTAAAATAATGAAAACGCTACTCGCTTTCACTCGCACGTCATCTTTTTGATATAAAATACGACAGCAAAGCAGTCAAAGGCAGCTTAAAAGTACAATGAGCTATAAAGGCGCTGTCCGACGACCTGTGTTGTTGCGGACGAGGCCGCGCCGCGCAGGGTTGCCAAAAGTATGAGAACTCTAACATTTGTGATTTAGCAGTCTCTATGTATGATACGATGTAAATAGAAATCTTGCTTTCTTTAGCTGCTGCCAAAAACACCCTGGCCGAACGTCAGGAGCGCGACCTGGAAATGTTGGAAGAAGCTCGTCAAGAGATCGCCGCGCTCACAGAGGAGAAGAAGCTCTTCATCATGGGCCTGAACAACACGCTCGCTAATTTGAGGGTGCTTATCATCTGTATTTCCTATTGTCGCTTATTCTATCGGGTCACTAACTACAGATATGCACTGCTGTTAGATCTCTGGCTGCAACATTTTTTAAGGTCGATTGAGGTCGCTTCCATAATTAGCCATTCTACGCAGGCTCAATGCAGGTTGGTTGGTGCCATAGACCATAGACATAGAGTTATCTACCTTACATTATGGTAGATTTGATCGCGAACCACTGGCTGCACGATCGCTTCGTCACACTTTTAGGGGTAGTCCTGATTAGGCAACGATTGTACGATGCGATCTCGTCGAGCGATGAGATCAAACATAAAGATTTTTTTCAGGAGTTTCCTTATACAGCTCGTAAGCCGTCGCAGGAGCACAAGTACAGGTTTTCATCTCACGATGAGATCACATCGTGTTATCGTACGATCGTTGTCAATTAAGACGCCAAGTAGGATTTGGCTCTGAACTGGCTGAAGGTGATGACGGCGCGGCGCCCATCATATTACAAGCCATTGCAAAAGTTGTTATGTCAATGATCGTGCTCATCACTGCACCATCTCTTTCAATATGCGATTATTTCCAGTAGCAATACGAAAGCTGGTCCTTAACTGGCTGAAGGAGACGGCGGCGCGCCCGGCCCATCCTCTTACAAACTATTGCGAAATTTGCCTAACTTCCACGATCTTGCTCATCACTGTGCCATCGTCCTCCCTCAATACGTGATCTTTCCTCCAATACGCGATAGTATTTCCAGTGGCAATATGACAAAGTTCGTAACCACATTATCAAGTTGGAACTGGCGCTCAACAGGCTGAAGGAGACGGCGGCGCGGCGTCCATCATATTACAGGCCATTACGAAAGTTGCTTAGCTGCCACGACCGCGCTCATCATTGCACTATCGAGCTCCCTAAACGTTCATGTATTTAATACGAGATCTTTCCTTCAATACGTAATTATTTCCAGTGGCAATACGACAAGGTTCGTAACCGCGTGATCAAATGGGAGCTGGCGCTGAACCGGCTGAAGGAGACGGCGGCGCGGCGGCACGTGGAGCTGTGCCACGTGCGCGCCGCTATCTGGGCGCTCTACGTCAAGATATGCAAGCAGAAGGTAACATACTTTCATCATAATCAGCTGATGGACTTCCACTGCTGGACGTAGGCCTTCCCTAGGGCTCTCCAAACACAACGATCCTGAGCTTTCCGCATTCAGTGGGTCCCCCCGACTCGCTTAATGTCGTCATAGACAGGCCCGTGTCAAAAATTGATGGGTCATTTAAATCTCCAGAAGACCTATTTAGAAAGATAGAAGGACATTAAATAATAAGATTCAGCATTATGCCGTCACTGGTAAACTGTCCAACTGAGTGCAGGTGAGAATTCAAAAGTACAGATAGAGGGAGTACATTTTGGTCATATATTTTTGGACGGCATTCTTACCATCGATAGATCCATGAAAAATAATAAGAAAACACGTATTGCCGTACAAAAATAGTGCACCACAAAGTCGTAAACTTTTAATAAATTGATTGGGTAAATTTAGTCATTTGATGCTTTACGGCATCGGTTCCGTACAGTTTCAATACCTCTTCTAATTCATTATTTCTCAATGCCGTACAAAAATCATCCGACGAGGGGGAAAAATGGAGGGTTGCAACTCCCTCCCCTTCCATGGTCCGGGGAGTGATTTGACACAACATAAAATTAAATGATTTTGACAGTATTTTATGCATAGATAACAGATTTTCATATGCCGTACATTTTTATTGGTCCAAAAGTCTGTAAGAACTCTCGAAAAATCCAAATAACGAAATGTACTTCAGGGTGTTCGGTTCGCAAAACTACGGCGGGAGACCTTGTACTGAGGAGAACCGGCAAGAAACTCAGCAAGGGCTGTTTTTTCTCCCTGTATTATATACGAAGTCGTCAAATTGAAAAATGACTTCAATATGAGGTAACTCATAAAGTCACTTTCCATTACAAATGCAAATAATATAAAAATTATGACTATAAAATAAAAAAATATATAAAAAACTGGTTTAACAAAGTTTAGAAATGCCGTGTCCTACTGTTTAGGCAAAAAAATAATGAACGATTAAAGTTTAGTACAACGATTAACAGTACCCAATGAAGCAAGAGCAGGCTCGTCTCCGCTGGCAGCACCCGTTCACGAGCATGACGCACGAACCAGCGATCGCTTCGCTCAACCATTTTTTAGGGAACGCAACGACACGCCTCACACGACACACATAAAATAAGAGCGGACTCTTAAACTTTCCTTTTTACGTTATTATTAATTTTGTTATTTATTTATACGTCTTGCTTAAATTGCAGCCTCCAAACTAGGACATAATATCTAAACTTATAAAATTCTAGCAGTCAAACAAGAGACTGCTAATAAAAGTTAGGTACGCTTCATCATCATCATCAGCCTATTAATGTCCCCACTGCTGGAGCACAGGCCTTCCCTTTGGATGGGATGGGAATAGGGAGAGAGGTACGCTTACGAGTCAATAAATCAATTAAAATTGTTTTTCTTCTCAAGGGTATTCCCATTGACATCGACACATCGGACTTCGAGCAGCAGTTGGTGGTCATCATGAGAGCTCTCCTGGAACTGAGGAGGATTTACAGGATCGCGCAACGCAGATCTAAAGAGAAGTTAGTACTTAGGGGAATTAATTAAGTCATTATGACACTTTTTCCTTAGCTTTTTAGGGTTCCGTAGCCAAATGACAAAAAACGGAACCCTTATGGATTCGTCATGTCTGTCTGTCCGTCCGTTCGTATGTCACAGCTACATTTTTCCGAAACTATAAGAACTATAGTGTTGAAAATTGTTAAATAGATGTATTCTATGAACCGCATTAAGATATTCACACAAAAATAGAAAAAAAACAATAAATTTGGGTCGTTCCCCATACTGAAACTGAAACTCATTTTTTTTTCATCAAATCCATACGTGTAGGGTACCTATGGATAGGTCCGGCTATTCGTGCCAAATTTGAAGTAAATCCTTGCAACACTTTTTGAGTTTATCCCGGATATACATACAGACAAACAGATAATCAGACAAAAATTCAAAAAATTTTATTTTTGGCTTCGGTGTCGATTGCAGACCACACCCCAAGTATTCCTTTAAAAAAATATGTAATGTTCAGTTTTGATTTTCCTACCATTTTATTATATGTATAGATAGAGATTTTAGTCGGATAAACTTTTTCACGTACTATAAATAATATTCTTTTGCCACGCTTAATTTCCAAATTCTAACGGGAAAATATATTCATTTTCAGGGACGCGGAATCAATGCAAACGGTTTGAAATTGGAAACAACATCTGGTACATGCTTTTCTTATGACTTATTTAAATATTTTTATATCTGTTAATAATAAAATAATCATGGTAATTTATAAACTTTGTTTATTATTCAACTAGTGTCCCGTCCTCCTTCATTCCTGTGTAGACTCTAGTTTTTATTTTCGAGCCTGTATACATAATAAAATACATAATAGGTACCTACATAACAAATCTTTCATAAAAAAATTTCATTGATGATGGAAACCGCATCAAAAACAGTTCAGTAGGTAGCTTTTGAGATCATCGTAAACGTACAGACATATACGACGACTCATCGAAGACTTAGTTTACTTTTTAATATTTTCCGGGAGGAAGCCGTGTGCCAATACCAACCAACCCCTTTAAGTATAAGTATGGATTCAAAGTTTCAGAACTTAAGTAAATTAGAAACAATTATAGTTTGTAAAATTTGTAACTACTGTTTTAAACAGTTCTTAATAGGAGTTGATTACTTCGCAATTAACAAGAAATCCATTAGAGGAAACTAAATAATTTCCACATCAACCCCGTTGAAATTTTACGTTGATGCAAGTTGATTTCACTACCAAGCGTTACAAACTAAAAGAGAAATTGTGATAAAACAAGATGAGATTCCGTATTTTTCAAAGAAAGCTTTCGTTGGAAGAAAATAAATCGACGTTACAATCAGAGCCTATTACTAATTATTTACACTTCCTAGAGATACCACTGAAAATCGTAGGCTGTTGGGACTGGTACATGAAACCCGAGACCGAATACCAGATAATCCTAAACAACATCTACTACGGCATGGTGCTTTTCTTTCTTATAAATGTCCCGGCTACCTTGTGCGTACACCTTTCCACCGAATGGAAAGACGTAATGACTACTTTAGACGAAATAGCGGATTGTTTGCCGTATTTTGTATCCATCGTGATAGTAATCTACTTCGGGGTTTACCGCCAGGAAATGTACGACTTGATACAGTCCATGGGAGAGCAGTTCAAGTATCGCTCGGCGAATGGTCTCACCAATATGACTATGCTGAACAGTTACATTACGGCGAAAAAATTCGCTTTATTCTATACGATTTGTACTTTGTTCAGTGTCAGCATGTATGTGGTGCCAGAGCTTATTAGCTGTGAGTAGCTTGTTGTTACATATATTTCACGTAATTTTTGGTATTCCTGATGCAGAGATCAAAAGTCCCAATTGTTGGAGCAAAGCAGCATTTTTATATCTTGAGCTCTTTTAGAAGTTTATACAGTAGCACCAACATAGTAGGTTCATTTGCGGAACATTACAAAAAAAAAACTTGCAGGGTGGACCAACAAGCCTCTACAGAGCTTCATGTATATGGACATCACGAAGTCTCCTTTCTTCGAGATCACATTTTTAACCTTATATCTGTCCCAAGCTTTCGTGGGGCTGGCCATGGGACAATTTGGTAAGTGTAACTAAATCTATCCAAGAAGAAGCTGCTTAGAAAAATATCATATCGTTAGAGTAGTAGACATTCTGGAACCTTATGTTTTATAATCACCTGAAACTGATGCCACAGGATTACATCAGTTTCAGGGTGTCAGACACTTACGAAGCCTTAGTAATTTTTATTTTAAAAATTCGGCCGATCGATAAAGCTTGCAATTTCGAATCGGAATACCCGTCATCATATCGTCCTGCAATACCATATTCCATCTGCCCCAATCTGTATTAGTATTTTAAGAGGAGCTCGATGGCGCAGGTGGTTAGCGTGTTCGGCTGCGATCGTTGTAGTTAAGCAACTTTGGCAGTGGTTGGTCATTGGATGGGTGACCAAAAATTTCTATCTCGAGTTCCTCCGTGCTTCGGAAGGCACGTTAAGCCGTTGGTCCCGGTTGCATCTGCAGTCGTTAGCACCCGCCAATCCGCACTGGGCCCGCGTGGTGGGTCATGGCCCAATCTCCCTATTCCACCCATAGGGAAGGCGTGTGCCCCAGCAGTGGGGACATTAAGAGGCTGATGATGATGATGATTTTAAGAGAGGTAAAAGTACCTCAATAAATGTGTTGGTCGTAGAGTTGAGAATTTTTTTTGCGGGCACAGTGGATTTCCCGCTCGAATCGGTGCGCCAATCTGGAGAAGCAACCTCCAACTTTCAGAAGACCACAGCACAATAACAGTACTTACCTTTTGCTGGTGTTGTGTTTCTGTTGGTGAGTAGGCTTCCAGGGCTGGCTGGAGAGTCACACTTTCTGCCGCATCACTTATATTCAAATGAAATGAAATGTCATATTATTATATTCAGTCTAGGCTGTTACAAGCACTTGTGAAGGTCAAGAAGCTACGCCATCGGTTCGCAGAACTACGCGGTAGACCTTGTACTAAGAAGATCAGGCAAGAAACTCAGCAAGGGCTGCTTTTTTCTCCCTGTATTGATATATACAGTGTCGTCAAGATGAAAAATGACTTCAGAGATACTTCTGAAGTAACCTTCAATTAAATCATTTAGGATATAGATATATAGTAACAATAAATTTTATATTTAGTATATAGGAAGCGGCATTCGATAGGTACACTCGCGGAAAGACCCGCTCTGTCACCCATAATGCCATAATCGCTTGCGGTAGCGGCGTAGTAAAAATTCATTCATAGACATGTAATTATCGCTGTCTTACTTTTTCGTATAGCGCTGTCGCGATCACGATGCGGTTGACAAATTGCAACTTAAACAAATGCAATTCAATGAAATCAATGAAATGCTCTCTGTCTTACTTTTGTGCGGGCGGCCCGGATTGGCGGGACCGACGCGAAGGCGGGGCGTAGTAAAAACTACTGTAGAAAACCGTTCAAAGCATTTTGTTCGCCAAGTGACAGAGCGCAAAATTCCTCGATAGTAACATATTACTGTTACAATAATTGACTAATACCCATCAAATAACAAATTACAAGAAACAAACAATGTCCATGCCTTACGATCATGATATTCGCGTCTAGACACTACTTACACTTAACATTAGCTGGTGGTGTGGGGTAATTTGCTGCGCTTGTTTAAAAAAAACATCAATGTCCTCAGTATGAAGTGTTTGCACGAGAATAATACCAGTTGGTGAATTCTTTTTCCCCTCTCCGTTTCCTCCACTCGACTAGGATCTCCTACTGGTAGGAACAGGAGAACATATCGTTTGTCGTTCAAGAGAAAGATCGTTCTATTAAAACTTAGATATCCAAACAATAATTATAGGAGTATTCTTCGCTGCAAATTCGATCCTGCTGTGCGGTCAGCTGGACCTCTTGTGCTGCAGCCTCCGGAATACGAGATACACGGCGCTGCTTCAAAGTGGAGTGCACTACAGGTGAACAAAACTTACTTATATGTATTTAAGACTAAGTGTATTTTTTCTTTGACCGAGCCCTTAGATTTAAACAAATGTTTTAATCTAAGCCCGATCTTGAGCTCGAAGGAGCGGTCTTTTTCCGCACCCGTTTTCCGGGATATTTTTCTCAATTCCGGGACCCAGGACATATGCTCTCATTTCGGGACAATCCTGGTGGATCCCGGAAACCTGGCAACCCTAACTCGCCACGTCTACATGTGATCGCGTCCTGTACATGTGCTCGGGGCGGGCGCAAATCTTGCCATGAGTTTTGCTTTTACGTTTTACCCACAGAAAACAGAATTTGTGTTCTGTGGTTTTTCTTTCACAGTCTATACGAGCTGCGCGGCGAGAAAATCGCGCCGTGAGTTCTTAACTGAAGGCGCAGTCTGAGTTTGTGAAAGTTTCGCAACGGTCTGCCAACGGATGGGTAATTGAAAGAAATGTTAACTCGAGTTTTTTCCTCTCTAAATATTATCTGACATTGAAGCATACGAAGAAGTACAGCATAGATTGAAGTACCAAGTTCAATGTCCAGCTCAATGTATCTTGTTCAATGTCCAGCTCAATGCTCTTTTTTAACACAGCATACAGAGAGAGGTTAGAAAGGTGATCATAGACCGTTTGTACGGAAACCGATGTCACCGGCTCGCCCCCACTACACTGCCACCAATCGAGAATAGCCAATCAAACGACGCGACATCAAACAATCTAACTAATCAGCGCTCACACCCGAGAGCAACGACGTAATCAGAACCAGGTTTTGGTCAATTTATGAGCATTTGCTCACACATGACTGTAGCGTGCCTGCCCCGCCCACAAGGTCTTTCTATCCTTCCCTATTCATGAGTACTGATTGTTTCACGTAGGTCTTTACGGCTGTCTCATTCTGACATCAAGAGCGATGAATTACACAATTATATTTACAATGTCGCGGAGATGGAAGAGTCTTCCTACCACTACGACGACAAGATGGTAAGTAGGTACATATTTACTCAGGTCCTGCTAATCCTTCTCCTACACCTGCGTGACTAAGTTTTGGGTGGCTTTGCTACTAAATACGCTAAAAAAAGGGCCCGTATTATAGAAAGATTCTCAGTGATTGATCTAGTCTTGAGCATAGTTAGAAAGGGATGTCCCTATATAGCACAGAGCGATAAACACTTAGTTGTCATTCTGTAATAAGGGCCTTAGTGTTTGGAATTTGAATTAGTTCTATCATAATGAATTATTGGGATGCGTGTCTATAGACTAGATTTGTCAGATACTTTTTGATCCTGTAAGAAACAAATGACCAATTTACAAAAAAAATGGATTTTTAATTTGCCTCGGAAGTAATGAATGAAAATCGTTGTTTTTATTGCTTTTCAATCGTTATATTTCAAAGAAGTTGATGTAATTTTTAACATGTCTTTGTTTGATTTAACATATTTTTGAATTCAGTGCAACTGTAACTATTGTCAACTTCTCCATGGACTGCACAAAGGCCTTTGACTGCTTACAATGGGACAAACTGTGTGCTACTCGAAATGGGAACTCCTTAACACTGTTGCCTCATCCCGAGTTTGTACTATAAAAACCATTCGTTCATCAGAATAGGCACTAAATACTTTAATATGTTCTTAACTAGGAAGGGAGTTAGACAGGGTTGCATCTTCGGCCCTTCGCTTTTTAATATAACAAGTGGATGGATGTATGTACAGTGTTGGTCATTGCTGCAAGAGTTCTGGATCGGGTTGAGATAAAAATGTATTTTGAAAAGTTGAATCAAATACGTGGGACACTCAGAAAGTTTAGAGAAACTAAAAAACTTACTTTTTCCACCAGCTTCTATACAAAGTTTCATGCGTCTGAACCAATTTTCAAAACATTTTTTCCAGTCCTCCGCAAACACCTCTTCCACGGCCTTCTCAAACGCTGCTAGCGCTTCGTCCGGCGATGAAAACTGTATCCATTTGAGCTGATTTTTTATTTTAGGGAATAAAAATAAGTCAAACGCAGCCCAAATCAGGACTGTAAGGAGGGTGTCCCAAGACTCTGACTGGTGTGGAGTCCAGGAAGTCCTTCGTTTTGATCGTAGAATGCGCGGGCGCGTTGTCGTGGTGAAGAAAGATCCCATGGAGCCCGGTGTTAGGTCGCTTGTTGCTCTTTGCAGAAAAAACTTCTGGCAGGCATTTTGTGCTATACCGTTCGGCGTTGATGTTGCTTTGGTCTCGAAATGGAATTCAAATTAGGTACCCCGTCAAAGTGAAGAAACTAGCAATCACTATTTTCCCTGCGCTCCTCGCTTGCTTCACTTTTGTAGGCATTGTTTCATTTTGAAACAGCCACACTATCGACTAACGGTTTGTTTCTGGATCGTATTGATAAATCCAAGCTTCGTCACCTGTCACAATATCGAAAACGCGCCGTAACGAGCCTGCATCAAATTTTTGTATCATATCACTGCACTAATCCACACGGACCTGCTTCTGAGCTTCGGTGAGATTGTGTGGCACCCAGCGGGAAACTATCCTCCTTACGCAAAGGTGCTCGTGCAAAAATTTGTAAACACTTCCTGAACCAATCTGCAGAGTATGCTGAATCTCTTTTTACGTAATTCGTCTGTTTTCTTAAATTAATTTTTTTACTGCCAGCACACTTTCTTCGGTGACAGCCGTCGTAGGACGACCACTACTTTTTTCATCCCCCAAAGCCAGACGACCGCGTTTTCAACTCGCTACGGTAGATGGTTGCTTTTGAAGGCCCTTTACTCATAAAAGCAGTTAGAAATCAAATAAATGACTCATCAGGTTTTAAGTCACATTTAAAATCGCAAAAAATCATATCATGAAAATGTTCTCGATGCAGATCCATTTTTTAATGAGACAAGAAAAATTTAATTGGCTCTCGGAAAAATGCGGAGAGAAATTTGAAAATCGAATACCACTCTTTGATTTTTTGATTTGATTACTTTTAAATAATCGAAGTCTTCAAAATAATTACAAATGGCCAGTGTCTTATACATACAAAACTTTTTCGCAAAACTTTCTGAGTGGCCTGGTACGTGGTTTAAATGTTCGCTAGAAAGTTTAACAAAATACTTCGTTTCTATTTCAGGAAGCCATCACGAGACCAAGAAAAACTAAGTTCGGTAAGACAGTGAATGAATGCATCAAGTGGCGAGTTAGATTCTTACCTACAGATTACAAAAGAAGCAGCTTATTTCCACCCTGTGGGAAATATCTAAGTTAACTTCGTCCTTAATCAGGAAAAAGTTAAAAATTACTCCTTGAAGAGTGATTACAATACTTGCTCACATGGCGTGTATTACATTATGTAGCCTACTAGTGAGGGGTTAAATATAGGGGGAATCGGCGTCGCCTTATGGATTTTCACCCGGGGTTGAAAGAGCACCCGCTGTACGTACGTCCTGCTCAAAGTTTAAGCTTCCCGCCTAATCTGAGAGGACAAACTTACCCCTACGCACGGTCACATAAATCCTGATAATACGGATTTTAATCCTACTTCCTACTAATGCTTGTATGTTTGTTACTCAAACACGCAAAAACTGCTGAATTGATTTGGATGAAATTTTGTACGGATATAGTTTATGATCTGGATTGAGACAGGATACTTTTTATCCAGAGAAAATGTTAGCTTCCTGTTCCATCCAGTGAGTAATTTAAATATAATTTCAGACACATCTATCGGCCCTTCTAGCATTTAGTTTTGACGACCCCTAGTTAAAACCAAATGTTACTTTGAGCAAAACTTTATTACCTCTTTTTTAATGCTTAATAGGCAAGCCGTTTGACCACAATCTCGCCTGATGGAAAGCGATGATGAGGCCTAATATGGTTCACGCCTGCTTAGACAATGCCTGTTCACTCTGGCCTTGAATTGCCCAGATTATATTGGTCCGGGAAAATAGACCTCGGCAAGGAGTTTCACTCCCTAATCGTTCGCATAATGAAAGAGGAAGCAAATTGCTTCGTGCGAATGGGAGGAACTTCGACAACATAAGGGTGAAAGCCCTCGCCGCGCTTGGTCGTTCGGTGGTGGAAAGGAAAAAGGAGGATGAAATTATGTAATACTTCCGCACACTCTCCGAAATGTAACCGATAAAATACCGAGAGATAAGCTACACGTTTTCGGTGGTCAAGGCACGTGCCGTGACCTGTAATAATAAAAAGAATTGTTCAGACATCTACAGCAGCGAATACGACGAGGCGACAGAGCGCGCGCTGCGGGACTGCGCTCGGATGTGTCGCGTGGTCAACAGTTACCGGGAGCGGTTCGAGAGATTCGTGTCCCCGCTACTGGCGATGCGAGTCGTGCAGGTCACCATGTACCTTTGCATGCTGCTGTATTCTGCTACCCTGGTAAGATTTTTTTTCAGTTGGTTGGTACTTGGAATGGGGCGAATGCAATTATTTCAGTACGTATGTGTGTGTGCCTCTACTGGCGTTCAGGTTGGTGTTTCCACGCTGCTGTATTCTGGTACTTTGGTAAGTTTTTTTTCAGTAGCTTGGTCCTTGAAATGGGGCGATTAAAATAATTTCCGTAGGTACATGTCCTCACTGCTGGCGCTCAGTGGTGCAGGCAGGGCAGCACCATGTACTCATACATGGTGCAACATTCTGCTACCCTGCTTATTATATTTCTTTTCTTAAACAAGCCTATATCTATAGTTGCTCCGAATGTAACGGTTCTCAATGTGAAGCGGCCAATGAACTGCTTCGAGCTCTTGCCGATTCTAGAGTCCATCGTGTCTAAGGCCCGTATTATAGAAAGATTCTCAGTAATCTAGTCTTGAGCATAGATAGAAAGGGATGTCGATATATGTAGCACATAGCGCTATCCCTTTCTAACTGTACTCAAGTAAAGATCAATACTTAGTTGTCATTGTGTAATACGGGCCGAAGAGAGGTAGGGGTTTAGCGCAATTTTCGCTCGAATTGGTGTGCCCGTCTGGAAACCTCTACCTTACAGAAGACCACAGGAAAATAACACTACCTTTTGGTGGTCTTGTCTTTCTGTCGGTTGGTAAGGTTCTAGGGATGCGGGATGTTATGTGATTGGTATTGCAAACGTCTATGGTGGCCGTTTACTATCAGGCGGACTATATGCTTATTTGCCACCCTTTAAACATAAAAACAGTATGAAAGAAAATGTAACATGTAATGAAAGGTGACTTCATGAATCATCTCTGAAGTCAATTTTCAACTTAAAGACTGTAAATAATAAAACAGGAAGAAAAAATCAGCCCTTGTTGAGTTTCTTGTCGGTTCTTCTCAGTGCAAGATCTCCCGCCGTAGATTTACGAACGGATGGCGTAGCTTAGAAGCTAATGAATGAATGCTTTAAGCGAATGTCTAGACTCTAGAGACATTCATGAGTGCTTGTAACAGCCTAAACTGAATTTGATTATTATTATGTAGGTATATCACGCAGTAGGCTCGGACTTGGGATGGGACGAATTTTTTTTTTTCAGTAGGTTCGTGTCCCCATTGCTGGGCACTTCGAGTGTGTCACCATGTTTTTATGCATGATGCGGTATTCTGCTACCCTGGTTAGTTTCTTTTTTAAATATCACACCTTTGCAGCTTGGCCTTGGAACGAGTGGAATAATTTAATACCTACCTACCGCAAAAAATACTTTGTACAACATAATGTTAAGCACGGGTTCTTCTTCTACTTCAAAACGGTGGGTGTTTTCCGCAACTCGACACCAGGTGCCTATTTTGCGTGAGAGGATGGCTTTAGTCATCCCAACTCAACTAAGTACGGGTTAACTTAAGTTTACCTTAGCTCAATCTGCCCCAGCTACCGTCATCTTGCCAATATGAACATACTGTCAGTCAACCAAATGCGGACTAAGCACTTTGGCTGCTTCACATTTGGCTAGATTTTTGGAGTTTACTCCTTAAGAATCGATTTGCATATATAAGGGGCCCGGTATGAGAAAAATGTGAGGAGTAAAATCTATCGATGAATGACCTCGTTACGTTTTGGTGCGCATACTATGTCGCGCAACTTTGACAAACAAAGATGACGGATTGACATTAAACGTCCATGTGTCTTATTTTAGTTACCATAAACCACTTGTCACTGTAATTAATAATGCAGACAATGTTGATTTAATTATTATTTAAAAAAATGATAATAATCTGATAATAATAATTACATAATTTATCAACATTCCTAATGATATATTTATGCACATCTGAAATTGACTATTGTAAAAAGTTTAATGTAAAATATTTCGTCGATTAGTTATAATAAATGAATAAATGTATATTTATATATGTATATTATTTTCATTAATTTGTTAATTTACCCTTTCATACAGTATCAATCTTTTTTAAGTTAAATAAACTCTTTTTGCGTCTGGTTAGACTATCGAACTTAAGGAGTAAACTCCAGTCGTGCTCGTGCGACGGAGCTGACACACACATTTTTTTTATATCTAGGCGGAGGGGCAGCTGCCTACATACACACATCAAAAGTGTCTAGGGATCAACATATATTTTTGCAATAACTTTTCTCCTGATTGATATTAATTAAAATTTTCTTTAAGGATTCATCAAATAAAGTGTTTTCGTTTGTCACAGTAACGATAAACTAAGTCACCTTTGCATTAATAAAGAAATTTGCCATTTTCCTAATAAAGGGATTTTTGACATTTGAACCACTAACACAAAAGTTCGAAAAAAAGACTGAAATAACAGTTTTCTCTAAAATTTTATTGGGTAACTTAAACAATTAATAATCCGTATTTCTACCGCGAACACTAACAACACAAGAACATCGGTTTGGCATACTCAAAATGAGTTCATCCAAATCACGCTGTGGAATGGCCGCCCATGTTCGTTGCAACAACAAAAAAAGGTCTTCTTGCGACTGGATACCCTCCATATTCGGCAGAGCTCTTCTCTGTAGCATATCCCATGCATGCTCAATCGGGTTCAAGTCTGGCGACTGAGCAGGCCAGGGCAGGACATTGATGTTAGCTGCGGCGAGAGTCTGTCTTACAACTCTTGCGGTGTGCGGTCGTGCATTATCATGCATTAACTGAAATAAGGGACCGATTTGCACTTGTAGAGGAACGATGACGTCTGATACAATCGTCTCAGCATAAATTTGAGCGTTGAGGTTGCCTCTGATCCAAATCAACTCAGTTCTTCCGCCGATCCAAATACCCGCCCATACCATGATGGTTCCACCACTATAAGGATGGACTTCCTGGCAGGATTTTAATCGCTGTTGGCGTCCAGGGGTTCTCCAGTGTCGTATACGTCTTGTATCCGGTCTCATACCAAAACGAGACTCATCAGAAAAGCACACGAAACGCCATTGTTCTTCTGCCCAATTTCTGTATTCAAGAGCCCATTGATATCGAATCCTACGATTGTGCATTGCTATAGGTGGTACCCGTAGCGGTCTTCGGGAATGAAGGTTCACTTCATGCAAGCGGTTTCTGACTGTTTGGTCGCTAATTAAGTTCCCTGAAGAGTGATGAAGCCTCACGGCTAACATCATGGCGGTTATTGTTGGAGCTCTTCGAGTTAAGATTTGAATGTATCGGTCTTGTCTCCGTGTGGTGCAGCGATACCGTCCTCCATGGCGCTCAGCCACGGTACCAGTGCTTCGGTATCGTGTCCAAAGTCGACTGATAACACTCTGACTTGTATTCAGAGCTAAAGCCACAGTACGTTGCCGGGAACCAGCTTCTATCATTCCCACGGCTCTGAGCATTTCTTCCCTGCTTAAATGACGTCGCCGCTCCATAATAACGTTGGTTTTAATCAGTAGTAGGGAAACAGTAGCACTAATAATGTCTTCAATGCGTTGTATGTTTTTATAGGGAAAATATTGACAGCTGATTTTCATCTTTTACTCGAATTTGATTCACAGTTCCTGATTCAAATTATGAAATGCACCAAAAAGGATCCATATAAATTTATAAAATCATAAATTTATTACAAAGCCACATCTCAATCTCAAGAAATCCGCATAAAAATGCTTGATCCCTAGACACTTTTGATGTGTGTATTTACCAATAATGGTGAAGTCTTCACTAGGTCGTCAGCGGTCAGCAATGTCAACTTTTTTTATATAGATGGATCCGAAAAATGACTCCACTCCACCTGATGTTAAGTGACGGTGAAGTACAGACGTGAAGATAGGTGGTACAGCAGTGTAACACTACCTGCCACACCAGCCAACTTCCGTTCCTTTCAACCCAACGTAATATAGAAACTTTGTTAACAAAAATTAATTTTCTTATATTGACCGTTTATCGTAGCCCCCAAAGTAACTGCTGATATTCCATATTTCTTTCTTAGAAATTTGACATGGTGACAGTGGAGTATCTTGGAGCCGTCGCTTTGGACATTTTCGTCTACTGCTTTTATGGAAACCAAATTATTATACAGGTCAGTAAATAAAAATAATAAAATAAAAACTATTTTGAATAGAGTATATCAAATCATTCCATCCAAGGCGTGAGGCTGTATTATGTAGTAAAGTTCGGTTGGAATGAGACGAATACCCCTCATGTCATGTCATGTGTCTCATCATTATCCTGCAAGTGACATTGCCATTAATAGACTGATCTCAAAAACCTTTTTCTGCGTTCTGTGTGGCGGATGATAAAAGGTTTCCCATTGAAGGCGGATCGCATGACGACAGCAGCGCTTACCAAAACGCGTAGGCAGTGATAGGAGTGCACACGCGCCGGCTCTGCTCGCAGGAATGCTATTCAACCTCCTCGCGGTCAAGAGTGTCGTTCTATAAAACCCACAACCTCATCCCACTGCTAGCGTTCGCCACCACTAGTTTTCGTTTTACGGAATTTTAGCATTCTGTTGTCAGAGGGAGGCAGCACATACGCACAGTAGAGTGGCATCCTCAAAAGCTGTTTTTATCTCGCGTTAGAGTTCCTCATCATCATCTTATAACTTCCTGTGTAGTCATTAATGGTTTATAAAGATTGAAGATAACAAGAGCTCGATGGTCTTTCGATCCGTGATTGTGGAAGTTAAAAAAAACTACGCAATGGCCGGTTATTGGATGGGTGAGCAAAATATTATCACCTCAACCTCCCGAGTGTGAATGCATGTTGAGCTGTCGGTTCCGACTGCATTTGCAGTGCTTAGCACTTCATCCGGGCTATCTCTATCTCTATAAAGAATATTCTCCCTATGCTATCCGTAAGGAAAGATTGTGCCAGTGGTTCGCGGTTTGTTCTCCGATAGGTAATAATTCTAGTATCATCGCGTGTCCTTGTTGTGAGTCAGCAAAACTATGACTCTTTGGGAAAATTACCTAACCTAGCGAGCCGTAAGCTGTTTATTTTGTAGTTTAGCTTAATATTTGAGCCGGTTCAGAGCTGAGTCGCTAATGCCTTAGGCGGATCGCGTGACGACAGCGGCGTACCAGAGCGCATGGGCGACGATGGGCGTGCGCGGGCGCCGACTCCTGCTCAACGTGCTGCTCGCCAACAGGCGCGCGGTCGCCGTGCGGGCAGGGTACTTTCTGCCGCTCAACCTTCATACATTCCTTGTGGTAACCACCTCATACACTACCTCACCTGAAATAATAATTTCTACTAAGAAACCTGCGCGAGTTTAGTATGTTTAATGCGATTCAACTAAGAATAGGAACGACTGGGCGCCATATTGTGACGTCATGGCTGTCAATTCAAACCAAATAGGTAGAGTAATCATAAAAAGGTTTTATTTAATAAAACTTTTTTACTAAGAATAAGTGAAAAACAAACATGAGATTTTTTTAATGAAACTTATTTACTAAGTTTGAGAAAAATAACAACCGGTCTTCAATAATATTTATTTATTATAACTGTGTGAGTACGAACATTAATCTGAATCTAGCTCTTCAACTCCGCTCATCTCTGCATTACCGCCGGAGTAGTTATGAATAATCATGCACTATTACTAGGTCACTTACGAACATGCATCCTTTATGTAAACGAAAGTTTTAAATTGAGTTTCTGAACGCAACTTGGAGACTTTCGTTTGACGATTTAGATTATCAACTATTCATAGCCAAAGCTCAATAAATGAAAAAAAATCAACCAATCTAAATTATCAATTGTTGGGTTTTTATTCTAAAATTACCCGAGTGTAAAAAGGGTTTTAAGACTTTTTTGCAAACTGTACTATTTAAGCGACATTTGACAGATGGAGGTCATTGGCTTACCTATTCATATTTGAATCGCACTATATCTTCTTAATGGTTTTACTCTTTTGGTTTTTAGTAACATGTGGCAACAGCATTATGCTGAGACAGGGTTATTACTATTATAGTTTTATTTTAAGTTAGTTTCTAATTTAGTTTTTATATTAATGTAAATGTGATTTCTTATTCTTTTTGTAATACTCGTGTCAAACGGTTAAAAAAAATCTCTCTTTCTATCCTTGTCAGACCCTAGGTCCCTACAACCTATACGATTCAGCTGAGACAATAGAATTCTATGAAACACAAACTTTATCGATTTGGACACTTTGGTAAATACAGTATCGAGTCAACTTCTTATCGTTTGGACAGGGAAATGCCAGTTAAGTACCTACTGCTTAATTGTCCGATTTCTAAACTATGTAGCTACTGTACTTACCAACGTGTAATTCAACTTAACTCCCACTTACGGCATTAATTTTTATTTCAGATAATCAAGACGTCTTTCTCGTATTACACTTTGTTAGTGAATGTCAACGAAAAGTAGCATCGCAAACATTTTAACAAGAACAAAGTAAACCATATGCCGTACTGGCATTAAGTCTGCCATGCAATGTAGAGGCGCTAAAGATTAAATAAATAAACCATACATTACTAGCAACCAATCATTTGTTACCGGCTTTTTCCTATAACATGAATTCAAGTATACAGGTTGAATTAGGGTTTAGGAAAATTTACGTCACTAGTTGGCGCCGCTGTGGCGCGAGGTCCTTTGGATTGAAGTGGCTTTTTTGGCGGTATTTCATCGAGTGCGGTTGGCGTCTTATTTTAATTATTCTTAAATTCGTTCATAGTGGATATTGTGAAATAAAATTGGTGTGGTTTTGTGTAACAACTGTCTGCGTAACTGAAGAATTAGTGGAATCATTAAAATATACGCTATTCCGGTCAAGTGGACGTGAGAATTTTATTGTAGTGTTGACTACCTCACAGAAGCTTATCGAAAAAGCCAACTCGATACATTTCGTGCCAAACACTCCAAGAAACATTAGAATGCGTCACACCGACATTCTAATGTAAAAACAAAAAGAAGATAAATTTAATTAAAGACTAGGCTGTATGGGCATTGTTCCCTTTGCCTTCCCTAAAACGGGAGAACTTCAACAACAAAATTGGATTGAAGTTTTTGGCGCGAATAAGTCGAATGAGCATTTAAATTGATCTTTAGAGCTAGAATACACTTGTTATCGTTTTGAAATTAATTGCATTGCGATAGTTGGGCGGACCTCAAGAAAGTACATATTTGCACCTACACTTTTTTTTTGTGCCACCTGCCGTTCGTCATTCCAGAAAACCTTCATTGCTTGTAGACTGCGTTACGACTGCTCATTGAATGTATAACCAACTTTGTCTCTGATATGGCTTCAGTGTTGCCATCACCGTATTTTCTTGAAAATTAAACTTCTCGCCATATTTCTAATAACGAAAATAATAAGTTAACTTTAATAAACTTTGTGAAACGATCAGAACCATTTTATTTCATATGGAAATAGAAATGTACGATTAGGAAAACACTATTAAATTGCGGCAAGGATCTTTAAGAATGTAAGTGACAGTTCAGGGTGGGCGCTGTTATCTACGTAAATGACATACAAAATATGACGTTTATAAAGGTGCCGGCTACATCAGAAAGATCCTTGACGGACTCCTTACTTACCTTAGTAAAAGTGTGATAACGTCAAATAAAAAACCACAAAAATCTCAGAAAGTATTTTATTTACGAAATCAATATACAATTCTCTTGTTCATACAATTAATAATCATCATATTGTGTATGGGCGCGGCCGTCGGCCACTGCTTGCATTCGCTACATATAGCGATAAACAAAATAAAATCACCTTTCGACTAACACCTTACCTTTTACGACATACATACTTTTTTATAACCGTTGACAATTATAATTTTTAATTTGGCAACTCGTGGCGTTCAGAGACAAAACAATATTCCGAATCGATGCATACCGAAGTCGGGTGCCGTTATTTATGTATATTAAAACTTACATCAAAGTCGCGAAGGTTCAAAATCGCGTAATTAAGCAAATTACACATGGTGACTAACTCACGCCCGGCCTACTGTGGGGACGGTGTATTTTATACAATAGAGTTTGTTCTCATCAACACACTACGCATCGTTTACAATATTTATGCTTACTACTAACTTCATAAAGAGGAGTTTATTTTATTTTAATTTACTTCCAATATTATCAATTACAGTTTTTCGGTCATTAAATTACTTTTAATAATAACGAGCGTTTTCAACACTGCAGGTAGGTTTGTTTACATACGGCATCTCAATAATATGAAAAAAATATTTTGAGTTGATATCGGATGTTTAAAGATATGTTGATGGAAATAAAAAATGGCCGCTTTATCACCTCCAATGTTAAAATCGCGCGCGCTTACACTTAACTTGTTTGGATATCAAATGCAACACAAGCATACAGAAGGGCAAACACACAGCACGCTCGCATTCTAGTTACATTATATTTTTTGCAGCATTCAAAGCATTCATTCACGTATTAATTATCACGCTCACCAGGTTTCCCAGAGCCGGAACTGCCACTTAATAATATTCATTAAAAAAAATGTAATAATTACTACATGCAACACTGGCAGTTTACCTTACAATAAAATGGCTGACACCGACGTTGCTAATGTGACAGATGTTTATGTAACTTATTTGTATACACGTGTTTTATCTGGATAATAGGCTAGAAGAGTACAAATGGTTTGACATTCTAGATACGAAAAACAGATTTTTGTCTTACATCATAAATACGCCCAAGCTCTTTCTATAATTCTTTTTTGTCCCAAAAAAATAGCAGTATGCTCTGCTTTATTATAAAGCATTTAATGTTGAATAACAGACAATAAGTTCTCACAAACATCTGCCAAATTGAGTTTTAGTTCATAGGTTTGCGACTAAAACGTCGCCCTAAGCCATTGAGTTTTTATGTTTTGTTGACAAAATATGACCGTATTGGTAAGTGATTGCCGCACGCTCATCAGGTAATGAAACGAACACACGGGCAATAATATTTACGACTTTGAAGCCGTCGTTTTTGAAGTTTATTACGAGCACGAAATGCCCGCGTTCATAAGGTCGAATTTGCATCGCGCAACAAACGTACCAGTTTTTATATTCCGTTAGTGATAACTACGCTAATAGGTGAAACTAATTTTATATACTTAACTAATTTCATATTGATTCCGTGTTGAAAGTTCGACCCTTATTTACTGTGTCAACTCGCCAATATCGCGTATCGCCCGTGTGATAGAATCTTATCAAAAATTGTCCAGCAATTGTAGCAGCGAGCTGCGGCCGCGAACCACGAGAGAGCGGCAAACGCCATCAATTAAATAATAATACTCGAATGCTAAAATTCCATCATAATTTATAAAAATATCATACAAAAACTCGCGTCCGCACGTCACTACATTATGAATAAAAGAAGAAAAGAAACTGACCCTTAAACGCAGCGCGGCAGTTACCAAAATCACTTGCGAAACGTCGATTTTACAGTCTATTATACATCAGGTTATCGAAAAGTGTTATAATTCTCTCAGTGGTTTGTGAATCTTATTATCAAGCACGATAAAGCTTAAAGTCATTTGAAGAAATTCGACAGTTTTGGAAAACCTGACCAATTTTAAGACTGTATTCGGCAATGTCGCAACGTCGTTACTTTTTTTACTTCTACAGTGTTGCCACGCGTCGGAGAAAGCTACTAACTTAAGCGAAAGCTTTATCTGTCAAAACTTGAATAGATCTAAGTCTAACTGTATATATACCGCCTCGCTGGTCACAGAGCCGTTACAGTATACTAAAACATAGCAACATTGCGACGTAAACGTTTAAAATTACGGAGAGTTTGCGTTTTGTTATGTTTTAGCGTACGATCTGGGTACGGTTTTTGGGCATATAAATGTACGTAGGTGGTGCTTAAGTATGGGAATCCATGCAAGTCGTTGGAGTCTCTCAACTCGACGCAGCGGTACGGGGCCACTAACTGCAAGGTTCGGGAAGAAATCGTTAAAAACACATTAAAAACACGCCACAGTGGTAGAGAAGAAAAAGAAAAAAAAACACACTACATTCAACCTTAGAGTAGGAAGTTATGGATGGATTTCTAACGTGAATTGTTACTGTTCGTTTACACCAAGAAACAAGTCATATACTACGTTTTTATTTATTTTTAAGCATTCAACTGCTAGATGTTTAAATCTAAAGAAAAGTTTTACTAGAAAAAAATCCACGCGTACCAGGCAGTGGACGGGACTCGAACCCGCACCCTTCGCAATCCGGGCGAATGCACTGACCAATTATGCTACCACGGGCTACCTACAATGCGAAGGGATGGCGCTGCCTTGCAGCTTAAGGCTAGGAATATTTCGACGCGGCCATCAGGGCCGTGGTAGCATAATTGGTCAGTGCATTCGCCCGGATTGCGAAGGGTGCCGGTTCGAGTCCCGTCCGCTGCCTGGTCCGCGTGGATTTTTTTCTAGTAAAACTTTTCTTTAGATTTAAAGTCATATACTAGTTTTACACAAAACTAGTAGAATACTTGCTGTGACATAATTTCGTTTACACTGCATAGACAACGAGTATCTTTACAAGTATAAATTATTATTTACTTCACATATTTTTTGTATCCAACAAGTTTGAAGCAAGTGTTGTGTACCAAATGTCTTATACATGTATTTATGTTTGCACAAAAAAATATGACAACGTATAAAATTTGTTATATACCTGTATTATACCTTGGTGTAAGCGAGCGGTTATAATAGGGAAGAAAATTATCTATTTATCTATCCCGCCAGAGGCGCAGGAGTCGAATGGCTCATAACAACAAATCGAGGCAGCTGTCAAATTTACAAGGAAACCGACAAAATCCGATAGACCTGGGCTGCGTTCCAAACCGACGTTCCAGATGCAACAAATGTCAAATTTGACATAAGTTTCACACATTTTATGTCAAAATTGAAACGTCGGGGTAAAAGTTGCACTCAGAGCGTAGGTTTATAACGCAGCCTTGAAGCGACAGGTATGTTTATTGTGAACAAAAAGCCCTAAGCGCCATCTGTAATGAGTTTTGCGTTTTCTTCCCCATTCAATATGAAGGTTAGAATAGGTTCGTATTGCATTTACAAAACGCTCAAATTCTTTTTAGTGTATATCTAAAGGACCCCGCAGAATCCTTATGGAAGCTGTCTCTCGGCCATTTTTTCTGTAACTTTGGGAGATGATGAAGAAAATCCAGAGAGATCCTTGGATGGAATAGCTACATTGAAACTAGAATGAAATAAGCTTTTTCATGTAAGTTCAGCCTCCCAAGCTTACATGCATACATATATACATTTTCGACTTTGACACGCTGTAGCTCCTCATCTATAAAGTTTTGGCCATTGGGCCCATGGGGTCTTTTATTTCACGTGTCATGAGCTATCATCTCCCAAAATTACAGAAAAATTGGCCGAGAGCCAGCTTCCATAAGGATTCTGCGGGGTCCCTTCTAAATTTGTGTTTTTCATATTTGCAATAGTACAATGTTTTGATTAGGTAAAGTTATTCCGGTTTATGGTAAGAATCAAGTATAATTAATTGAAGAATGTAATGTGAGTGTGTGCTAAACGACGTTAGTGTAACTAAAAATAGCATCCAATTTAAAATATGTTTCTTTTCGGAAAAAACAAGTCAATGCCGAAACAAATTATCAGAGTTCACTGAAACAAAACTATGCAATGTTATAATGAGTTTTGTTAATGAGTAAATTTGCCTCTCAAATGTCGCACAAAATCACAAATCGACTTGTCCTGTACCTTAGGATGCAACCGCTTTAGATGTCTCTGAAGAGTAAATGGAAGCCGATTAATTTTGTTGTTCAGCTGTGGAATTCTCTCCCACTTTCGATACGACGTGCGGAATCATTTCACGCTCTTAAGAATCTCGTGAAGTCCCACTATTTGTCTTTGTAACATTTTTGTTTTATAATCTCTTTTGTAATTTCTACCGACTGGACTAGATTTGTGTATGTATATGTTTATATGTATATATATTTATAAATATAATATATATGTGTATTTGTTTACGAATGTATATAAGGGTGTCTCAAAAAATTTTAAGTTATTGTGTTGAGATTTTGTGTTATAGTTTGTTACCAAACGGGATCTTTTTCTTTGATGCATTTCCAAACAATTATAATAATGTTTTTGTTACCACGAATATAGAAATAGTTTTATAGTTTGAGTTTGGATCGTAGATATAAAAGCAGTAAAGATACCTATTATGGATTTCATTTTAGATAGAAAAAATTATACAAATTAAGAGTGACTTAAATTGTAATTTGAATAACTAATTCATTGAAAGTGTATTCAAACAAGACATGACACACATATAAAGGTACGTGCTTGAATTTAATGGGGAATTTTCTAACATTTATTGACGAGGCACTAGTTAGTTGGAACACTGTTTTAGCCAGAAAATAAATACACAGAAACGTAGCTCAGTACCCTTAGTACCAGTGGGTGCTCACGAAAACTATCTTAGTTTTCGTAATTGTAAATTATGTTTCTATGTCCAATTTGGTGAAAAGTAACCAAATATACTTAAAATTTAAGAAGACGCAAATGATTTAATGATAGAATTTAAACACTGTTTATTTGTATTGATACGAAAACAATAAAATCAGTACCCTTAGTACGAGTCCGAGCTCACGAAAACTATCATAGTTTTCGTAATTGTAAAACTCGTATTATGGTTACAGTAGTACCGTGTGGAACAGACGCACGCACACATAAACTAGTGTTTGATGGAGACGTAGCGCATATATTTCTTACAATGATTTTATTTTTGTCGTTGGGATAACTTAACAGATTGACTTCATGCAGCTGATAATTTATTTTGTGCTTAGTCGAAAAGAAGGTATTTTGCTATATTCGTGAGTTTTATTGCAGCACAAGGTTCGTATGAAAGAATATTTAGGGAAAACCAGAATAAAAAACCAGTTCTTTTTCTAGTAAAATTTTCTTTAGATTAAATATATAGCAGAAAAAACTTGAAACGATAGTAATTTTCCAATGATGAACAAGCTTATCTTTCATTTGGGATAAGTAAGTGGCTGAGAGCGGTTGCAAAAGGTTACACCTCTCACCTATTTATTATGTGATTAACACTTATACAGATAATTTTATCGCTAATTAACTCGTAACAAAGATATGATTGGAGCGACATTCCCAATACGAATAAAAACAGATTTCATAAAAACTCAATCGAAATAATTTTACACCCTGTATATCTCAAATCAAATTCATTTCACATCATTAATATAGTTTTTTATTTAATATTCAAATAGATGACGATCGGACCAGTATTTTTTCATTCATTATTTTTTATATTTGAGACGTTTGTGCTTCATCATTTAACATAGAAGCGTTTTTAAGCAGAAAGCGACAAGCGGGCATTTTGAACAACGTTTTTTTTTAAATTTTATGATTACCTACAATGCGAAGAGATGGCGCTTGCAGGAAATTCGACACGGCCGTCAGGGCCGCGGTAGCATAATTGGTTAGTGCATTCGCCCGGATAGCGAAGGGTGCGGGTTCGAGTCCCGTCTGCTGTCTGGTTCGCGTGGATTTTTTTTCTAGTTATATTTTCTTTAGATTACAGAATTGAATTTCCGATATTTCCGTACTGTTGCAAGCGCCATGATCACGGAGGAACAGGCCTTCCCTATGGATGGCATAGGGAGATTGGGCCATGACTCACCACGCGGGCCCAGTGCGGATTGGCGGGTGCTAACGACTGCAGATGCAGCCGGGACCAACGGCTTAACGTGCCTTCGGAAGCACGGAGGAACTCGAAATAGAAGATTTTTGGTCACCCATCAAATGACTGACCCCTGCGAAAGTTGCTTAACTTTAACGATCGCAGCCGAACGCGCTTACCACCTGCGCTATCGAGTTCCTCTAAATATAAATAACATATATTACTGTAAAGCAAAAATTTGTTCTACAAACCGAGATTAAAGTTTGACCCCAAAAATGACCATTCAAAAATGCCCATTGTTCGCTTTCTTGTTAACGCCGCTCAGTTGTTCTTTAGTGTTTGTGTTGTGATAATATTTTTGTCGCTAGTGTTGTATAGAGTGTGGTGTCGTTCTGTAGTGTCTGTGTAGTGAGTGATGTGTCGCACAATAACTTCTTTTTGTTCTAGGGCTGGGCCCGGGGAGGTTTGGGGCCGCTAATGTGTCCATTAAATTTACTTAACACCTGTATGATGCCTGGAGAGGCATATTTGTGTCCCTAGTGTTACGTAGAGTGGATTAGCGTCTGGAGTGGCATATTTGTGTCCCTAGTGTCATGTAGAGTGTAGTAGTGTCTGGAGAGGCAAATTTCTGTCCCTAGTGTTATGTAGACTGTAGTAGTGTCTGGAGAGATATATTTCTATCTCTAGTGTCATGTAAAGTGTAGTGGTGTCTAAAGAGGCATATTTCTGTCCCTAGTATCATGTAGAGTGTAGTAGTGTCTGACGAGGCATATTTTTGTCCTAAGTGTCAAGTAGAGTGTAGTAGTGTCTGACGAGGCATATTTTTGTCCTAAGTGTCATATACAGTGTGGTAATGTCCGTGTAGTTTATATATGTCGCACTCACTTCTTGTTGTTCTTGGGCTGTGCCCGTGGGGTGTGTTGGGGCGGCTAACGTGGTGATTATTTAATATTCCTTTCTCAGTGAGACTGTAAGTAATTGAGATGGATATTTATGTCCCTAGTGTCGAGTGGAGCGTAGTGTCATTGTGTGGTATCTAAATAGGCATATTTTTGTCCCTAGTTTCGTATAGTGTAGTGTCTGGAAAGGCATATTTTTATCCCTAGTGTCGTATAGATATAAATGTTTGTGTAGTAATGTGTCGCACTCACTTCTTCTTGTTCTTGGGCTGGGCCCGGGGCGGGGTGTTGGGTCGGCCCATGTTGAGGCCGGAGTACAGTTTGCGTTTGTCCGCAGGTTTTAAGATTTGGAACGAGCACATTAGTGTTTCGTCCACGGACATAAGGGCACCTGTGGGGGAGAAATTATGTAGATTAATAGATATTCTATGTTAGTTTACAATGAAATCGCTAACTAATACACCGTGACTATAATCTCACCTGCATTAACGAACTCGCCGCATTAATTAGGCGCCGAGAAGAGAGTAACGAGCTGTCGTTTGGCGAAGAACTCATAGCCATGCTCAACGACCTGGGGGTCTACTCTCTTTCTCCGAAACGAACTTTCGATAACGAAGTTTAAACGAAATTTAATTTCGTCAATTTAAGGTTATACTTAATCTGAACGATAAACTATCAAATTGAAGCTTTCTTTGAGTAGGTTTAGAAAATTTACACCTCAGTCTATATTCCGACGAAGAATAATATTATAATTATAAACGAACCAGAAACATAGTAAGAAAAGTGCGAAGTTTCGATCGAAATTTCGTTGAATCAGAGTAGGCCTTCTGGTGCGGAATATACAGACTACCTAGACGTCATGGATAATGATAATACTACCTGGCACATAATCTCATCTACATTATCGAACTCGCCGCAGTAGTTAGGCGTCAAAAAGTAAGTAACGAGCTGGCGTTTGGTGAAGAACTTATACCCTCCCTCTACGACCTTGTGCGCAATATACCGACTACCTAGACGTCACGTACAATGATAATACTACCTGGCACATAATCTCATCTGCATTATCGAACTCGCCGCAGTAGTTAGGCGCCGAGAAGAGAGTAACGAGCTGCCGTTTGGCGAAGAACTCGTAGCCATCCTCAACGACCTGGTGCGGAATATACAGACTACCTAAACGTCATGGTTAATGATAATACTACCTGGCATATAATCTCACCTGAATTATCGAACTCGCCGTAGTAGTGAGCGCCGAGACGAGAGTAACGAGCTGGCGTTTGGAAAAGAACTTGTAGCCGTCCTCAACGATCTGGTACGCAATATGCCGACTAACTAGACGTCACGTACAATGATAATACTAACTGGGACATAATCTCATCTGCATTATCGAATTCGCCGTAGTATTGAGCGCCGAGACGAGAGTAACGAGCTGCCATTTGGCGAAGAACTCGTAGCCATCCTCAACGACCTGGTGCGGAATATACCGACTACCTAGACGTCATGTACAATGATAATACTACCTGGTACATAATCTCACCTGAATTATCGAACTCGCCGCAGTAGTTAGCGCTGAGACGAGAGTAACGAGCTGGCGTTTGGAAAAGAACTTGTAGCCGTCCTCAACGACCTGGTACGCAATATACCGACTACCTAGACGTCATGTACAATGATAATACTACCTGGTACATAATCTCACCTGCATTATCGAACTCGCCGCAGTAGTTAGGCGTCAAAAAGAAAGTAACGAGCTGCCGTTTGGTGAAGAACTTATACCCTCCCTCTACGACCTTGTGCGCAATATACCGACTACCTAGACGTCACGTACAATGATAATACTACCTGGCACATAATCTCATCTGCATTATCGAACTCGCCGCAGTAGTTAGGCGCCGAGAAGAGAGTAACGAGCTGCCGTTTGGCGAAGAACTCGTAGCCATCCTCAACGACCTGGTGCGGAATATACAGACTACCTAAACGTCATGGTTAATGATAATACTACCTGGCATATAATCTCACCTGAATTATCGAACTCGCCGTAGTAGTGAGCGCCGAGACGAGAGTAACGAGCTGGTGTTTGGAAAAGAACTTGTAGCCGTCCTCAACGATCTGGTACGCAATATGCCGACTAACTAGACGTCACGTACAATGATAATACTAACTGGGACATAATCTCATCTGCATTATCGAATTCGCCGTAGTATTGAGCGCCGAGACGAGAGTAACGAGCTGCCATTTGGCGAAGAACTCGTAGCCATCCTCAACGACCTGGTGCGGAATATACAGACTACCTAAACGTTATGGTTAATGATAAAACTACCTGGCATATAATCTAACCTGAATTATCGATTTCGCCGTAGCAGTGAGCGCCGAGACGAGAGTAACGAGCTGGCGTTTGGAAAAGAACTTGTAGCCGTCCTCAACGACCTGATACGCAATATGCAGACTACCTAGACGTCACGTACAATGATAATACTACCTGGCACATAATCTCATGTGCATTATCGAACTCGCCGCAGTTGTAAGGCGCCAAAAAGAGAGTAACGAGCTACCGTTTGGTGAAGAACTCATACCCGTCCTCAACGACCTGGTACGCAATATACCGACTACCTAGACGTCATGGATAATGATAATACTACCTGGTATATAATCTCACCTGAATTATCGAACTCGCCGCAGTAGTTAGCGCTGAGACGAGAGTAACGAGCTGGCGTTTGGAAAAGAACTTGTAGCCGTCCTCAACGACCTGGTACGCAATATACCGACTACCTAGACGTCATGTACAATGATAATACTACCTGGTACATAATCTCACCTGCATTATCGAACTCGCCGCAGTAGTTAGGCGTCAAAAAGAAAGTAACGAGCTGCCGTTTGGTGAAGAACTTATACCCTCCCTCTACGACCTTGTGCGCAATATGCCGACTACCTAGACGTCACGTATAATGATAATACTACCTGGCATATAATCTCACCTGCATTATCGAACTCGCCGCAGTAGTTAGGCGCCGAGAACAGGGTAACGAGCTGCCGTTTGGCAAAGAACTCGTAGCCGTCCTCAACGACCTGGTGCGCGCGGCAGATCAGGTCGAACTCGTGCTTCGATAGGAACTTGCCGACCACCTGTAATAGAAGTTCCATCATCAGTATCATCGGCAGGCATAGTTTTATTAAACATAGTGCAACGGTAATTACAGGTATGGCATAAGCAGGATTTTATTGGGACTTTTTTTTTATTTTATTTTTATTATACTCTCTACGCTTTTAAGTGCGGAACCGCGATATCCCAGTTGAGGGACTTCACTGCTCCCCTTCCGCTGCGGAAGGATTGCCTACGCGTTCCCCTCGTAGGCCCTTTGCATCCTCGTATTTTTTCAATCATTTTTTAAGGTAGGACAATGGTTTTATAAGTTTACCCCCTAATGCCCCTTCCTCCGATTCTAGTCAAATTTTTGTCCCAAGTGTCGTCCGAGCGTGACGTCACACAGATGTGTCCAATCAAACGCGACTTACACTCCTCCCACGCACCAATTTTTGCAAATTCTATTTCAATCAAAGATTTAATAATGCCGACTCTAATTGGGGGGTGCTCTGCGATAATCCATCGACAAACTTGACTATCGTATTATAAATAGTTGGTAACGAAACATGACACAATTACAACCCTACACCAGTTTACTTACAAGAGTCTATTTTAGATGATGACTACAAAAAATAAACAATGCCGTATACGTGTGTTCATCCAAACAATTGTTGAAACGCTGATATGTAAGGGATCAATAACAGATAGTGTCACAATAAAGATTCCCGATAAAGAATATAGAGCCGTAGCTACGGCTTTGATCATCCGCCTTCTAATAAATAAATAAATATTTCGAACACTCACACAATCACAATTAGCCTAGCCCCAAAGTAAGCACTGTAAGGCTTGTGTTATGGGATACTAGTGTAACGGATAGAATATATATACTGTACATATATAAGTATATTTTTATAGAAAATATATATTACACATCCATGACTGGAGAACAAATGCTCGTATTCATCACACAGACATCTGCCCCCACCGGGATTTGAACCCGGGACCTCTCAAGTCGGCGACACCATGAAACCCGGCGTACAAACCACTCGGCCACGGAGGTCGGCAAAATAATAATATATAAAAGCTATATAAATGTATGAAAAAATAAGAACCATTTATTGGTAAATGTATTTAATATTAATATTAGAAGCGATTCTACTATTTTGAGAGAACAAAATAAATAGTTTTAGAACATATTATTTACCTACTAATGTTTAAAGAGTTTATAAAAAGTGGATATTCGTCATGCTGTGGTGTATTTCAATTTCCCATAAATAAATCTAAATACTTAAAAAGAAAACAATTTTCATGTTGCCGCGAAAATGTTTCTCTGGACATTATGGCGTCTCACTGGTAAGTTCGAAGTTCCATTGCCATATTTACTAGAGTCAAACACGGAGGCTCGTTTGTTCGCAATCAGAACAAGCGACCCGGTAAATTGACGTAACCTTTGTTTAGTAAATCACGGCAATTCACTGCAGAAAATGTGATTTGTCGGAAAAATAATAAAGGATATGGCGGCGATGATCAGATTAAAAACACCCTCGAAAGATAACAAAAGGGTTCATTTACTATCTTTGTATATTTGGTATCTTGAAGATAGACTACATTATATATAATGCTAGAGGTGTTCTGCGGTTTCACCCGAATTATTTCGAGGAAAGAGGTTATAGTGTATATTATACTGTCGCGGACTTTTTTATAGAACTTTTTATTTAATTGTTGCAACATTTTTCATTGGTTCTATTAGTCGTAGCGTTATGGTATATAGCTTTATTCGATATATGCACTATACAACAAAATAAGAATGATTCAAATCTGACCAGCAGTTCCTGAGATTAGCGCGTTCAATCAAACAAACAAACTCTTCAGCATTATTATATTACTAGTGGCCCGCCCTCGCTTCGCTTCGGTGTAGAGCTGTAGTGTAAACTATAGTTTTTGTTCTCAGGCTTGTGCTATAAAGAATGACTTTATTTATATAATTACACGTGTTATTGTGAGTCAACCATAAAAGATAGACATATGCTGTTGCGGGATATTTTTTAGACAATTTTATGTAGAATATTTCCGTCATACATGATTTCTATGTAACTTTAACCATTAAGGCTGCACCTGCGACGGAAGCTTAAAAATGGAGTAACTTCTCCCGTTTTCCCAACATTTCCCTTCACTACTCTGCTGCTATTGATTGTAGCGTGATGAAAAGTATACTATTGGGATCTGACATGGAGGCGTGGCCTATTCAATATGGCGCCGACGGGGGTGCATTTGCCTAGTCAAACCGTGATGAAATACCGTAAAATAGTTAAATATCAATATTAGTGGTAGATAATGATAGTCTTAACAATTAATGATATTTGTGAATGGTCCGGTTCAACGCCCAGTAATCGCAATTTTCGAGAGGGTGAACGACTGGTAGCTGCGAAACATTTATTGAATTGTGGTATACACAAACATTTATTGAATTGTGGTAACTAAACCAAGGAAACTCTTTCATTTTAATGTTGTTGCCGTCCCATTCTTTTCTTAGTGGAATAATAATGAGATCTTGTAAAATGCTACTTCACACATGCTTAACCTCAAAAAACGAATTTGACTCACCTGGTAATATATAGTCGTCTTTCAGAAAATGCAATGAACACACTTTCATGTGAGGATTTATTTTACAGTCAATCTTCAAAGCGTTCTTCCATGCTGTGAATTGGTCCACTTTTTCCATTTGACCAAAATAATTTTTGATGTAAACACAACGCGCATTTTTTTTAGGAAACTTATGAAACGTTAATTCACGGTTTTTTTGAAAACTGCTTCCACATCCATACACACAACACTTTATTCTTTTTTTAGAAATCTTGCGAGGGTTAAATATTCCTAATTCTTCCGTCATTTTTTGTTTAATTTCTCAAAAGTACTAATGACACTAATGATAACTTATGTGTTTTGATGAGCGATGCACCCCGGTATTAGTTCCAAAATTGAACACCAGGTGTCTCACGAATTTTGTCAGATCCCAATAACCTGCCCAGGAGTATGAAGAATAATTGTACCAAGTTTCGTTAAAATCCGTTGAGTAGTTTTTGTTTCTATAAGGAACATACACACAGACAGACAGACAAAAATTTTACTGATTGCATTTTTGGCATCAGTATCGATCACTAATCACCCCCTGATAGTTATTTTAAAAATATATTTCATGTACAGAATTGACATCTCTACAGATTTATTATAAGTATAGATAGTACAGATTCCAATAGCTGGGTTTCATAAATTTCTCGCTAAACTGGACAGTTCGTCATTTGTTATTTCACATATTCTTTATCGTGGATTTGTATTATGACACTATCTGTTATTGATCCCTTACATATCAGCGTTTCAACAATTGTTTCGATGAACACACGTATATCGCATTGTTTATTTTTTGTACCTAGTCATCATCTGAAATAGACTCTCGTAAGCAGACTCATCTTTCCCATTGGGCACTTTGGGCAAGTGCCCAGGGCCCCGCGGTCGATAGGGGGCGCCCTCAGATCAAATACAAAGTCCATAGTTCCTGTTAAATCAACAAACAGAAGTCATAGGGGCCCCATTATCCTAATATGACCAGGGTCTCCAATAGGCCAAAGACGGTACTGCTTGTAAGTAAACTGGTGTAGGGCTGTAATTGTGTCTTGTCCCGTTACCAACTATTTATAATACGCTAGTCAAGTTTGTCGAGGGATTATCGCAGAGCACCCAATTAGAGTCCGCATTACTCAATTTTTGTTTGATATAGAATTTGGCAAAATTTTTGGGTGCGGGAAAGGAAAGCTTTGTTTTGGTTGGACACGTCTGTGAGACGTCACGTTCGGATAAAAAATTAGATGCAATCTTGCATGGCGACGTTTGGGGGTATGTCACACGCTTATGCTAAGCTTGGCACAAGCCGATGTCTTTGATTGCTATGTGGGAATTATAATTATATAAAATTTCGACTACAGCAGGTCACACAACAGCTCCTGCAGCGCTATTCTGTAATAACAAACTCACTTACCGACGTGGAATTCGCCGGTGTGAAATTCGTGTTCTAATTTTAGAACAAACCGCGTACATAAACATATAGTACTACTGGCCCGCATGATGCTGGCATACAGAGGCAGCTATATAGATGGGTCTCACCTCTGTGCCGAAGGTGAAGCTGACGCTGCGGTCGTTCTCGCCCCAGCCGGCGGTATACTTGACAAATCGGAGCACAGCAGGTCGCATAGAAGCTCCTGGTCTGTATGACGCTGGCAGACAGAGGCAGCTATATGTGTCTCACCTCTGCGTCGAAGGTGAAGCTGAGGCCGCGGTCGATCTCGTCCCAGCCGGCGGTATACTTGACAAATCGGAGCACAGCAGGTCGCATAGAAGCTCCTGGTCTGTATGACGCTGGCAGACAGAGGCAGCTATATGTGTCTCACCTCTGTGCCGAAGGTGAAGCTGACGCCGCGGTCGTTCTCGCCCCAGCCGGCGGTGTCCTTGTCCGGGTCGGACCACAGCAGGTCGCACAGAAGCCCCTGGTCGGGCACATCCGTGGGCCGCATGATCCGCCGGATCTGCTCCATGGCCTGCAGGTCAGGGGACAGACCGCCGTGACAGCAGAAGATCTTCTCGTCCACTGCAATAGGAAATAAGAATAAGAAATATTGCACATTCCGAACAGGAAGTAAGTCTGCTGACAGTGGGTAAAATTGATATGATACCGTGGGATATAAAAGTATGAAGGTAATATATAATAAGGTAACAATTTACCAATTTTAGAACCTATACAATACTGCATGTTTGTCATCTATAGATTATTGTTAAGAAAGAATAATTAAACAAGATTGATTGTACGAAAACAGAGGTCGAAAGTGACGGATTATAATCTGTATCGCGAAACAATGAAAGATTCATTGTTTCTCGCTACAATGGAAGAATGCAGATCACGTGATCCATCACAACCTAATTCTATCAAGCGCCGTGGGGCCCGGACGCCATTTGGCGCGATAACCTCAGGTATCAGGAGTGGTGTTTACGAGGCGCCTTCTCCAGCCGCAAAGATAACAGCTAGGATGACACGCCGAGAATGTTCTTAGCAATCTTACTATCGAAGGACCATTAACGAAGTCGTTTAAACAAATTTAGGTTACTTAAAGAATGCTGTCTATATCACTAGTTACCTACCTACAGTTTAGTTTTTAACAATTAAAAATAAAAACCTTTAAAGATATCGCCATTCAGTCCGATTCTTAAATGATTCTCTAAGCTTTAACTTATCTACAATTTAAAAATAGTAAATCATTTTCATACTCAACAGTGCTATTGGTGCTATTCTGTAAAAATAAAACTGACTTTTCACCTCGAAAATCGCGGTGTCATTTAAAACTAAAACACGAATTTCAAATCACACCGGCGGATGTGAAGTGAGTTTGCCCTTATAGAATAGCTCTACTGTACTGAAAAACTCTTGTCACAGTTTCGAGAATCATGCCAGAATCTTTATGTACAAAAGTTCATTTTCTTCATAAATCTAACATGATATCGGACTTCTTCGTAGTAGTCTTGTATGAAATCGAACAGTAACTGGAGCAATCAAGTTCTATAATTGGGATGGCAAATGGAAAGGATGAGTCTACGGAAATTGGTTTGTGCCTTCGTGTTAGGTAACCTTTTGCTAACTTCGGTGACTACACACATTCGGGTGTATTAGTCTGACATCAGCTTATCGCTTTCCAACATTAATCACAAAATTGAGAATATAAATTCTACTGTGTAACGTGTAAAATTGTGTAAGAAAATTTGTTATTTTAATCCTGTTACTCGCTCTTACTTTACTTCGGTACACAATATAGTTTTTGTGTATATGTTACGTGCATATAGGTAAACCTTCTGTTTTTTTGTGTATATTTTATATGACATTGTGTCACTGTTTTGTAAGTTTCTTTTAAATATAATATAGTTGTTGTGATTGTGTCAAGTTCGCTGGTTTGATTTCATTAAAATTACCCCCCATTATTTCCATTAGTTTTATTCACTTTTACAGTCCATCGCTACACCTTCCATAGGTAAAAACAACACGAAAATCCATTCCTTCGTATTTGAAATCAACGCGTACATACACTACAGACTTGTTTTATATCATGATGACATCTTATATCATAATTTGATCAAATATTATGAGATTTTTTCCCCGTCCGTTAGTAGATTAGCGTCTATTCTTAGTAGAGAAACAACAGGCTTTTCTCGTCATATAATAACTATATATCGGATTTGTCTCAATAGATTGCAGAACATTATTACCAGTAGCGAAGAATTTATAACTCGTCAATTATTATATGGTGCATTAAGCCGGTCCAGTAGTTCTACGTGTGAGATGTGACACAGCAATATGTTATCACGTTGCGCGACGCGATAACATATTGTTACAACATATTTGCATTTCGTTTAGTTATTTCTCTTATTCATGAGTTTTGGTCGATGGAATGTCTGTTTATTTATATTTTTAGATATGAAGCGATTATTTTTGAAGATAATATACGACAAGAGAAAAGCTTTTTATTATCTGTCTGTGCAGTTATTGAAACGGTTTTCGCAAAATCGCTAGGTGAAAATATTCGATTTATCAAATGATCCTACGACATACGAGGAGTGTTCAAAAACTAAAAGGAGTCTTTACGGTTTTCTCAAAAACATCTTTATTTATACATCAATATTTACGTTGAGGAGCTCGATGGCGCAAGAGGTTAGCGAGTTCGGCTGCGATCGTTGAAGTTAAGCAACTTTCGCAGTGGTCGGTCATTGGATGGGTGACCAAAAATTTACTATCTCGAGCGCCTCCGTGCCTCGGAAGACACGTTAAGCCGTTGGTCCCGGCTGCATCTGCAGTCGTTAGCACCTACCAATCCGCACTGGGCCCGCGTGGTGAGTCATGGCCTAATCTTCCTATTCCATCCATAGGGAAGGCCTGTACCCCAGCAGTGGGGACATTAATGGGCTGATGATGATGATGATTTACGTTTTCCCCTTCAAAGTAATCCCCCTCAGATATATATACTAATACACTTGTGCCAAAGCTTTTTCCAATACTCGAACCACTTCTGATAATCGTTGAAAATCGGTATCCTTTCGTGGGACATTTTAGTTTTGGGAAAAGGAAAAAGTCACAGGTGTGGCTAAATCCGGAAAATATGGAGGCTGATGCATAACTGTGGTGTTGGTTTAGGCCAAAAATGCGACGTTTCTTTTGAGCAAAATTAATTTTTTTTGGAACGATTTTCACTGACACACGTCTCATGGTCAAAACACCGAAAGAACAGCATGGCATAAGCCAACTGGTATGCCAACGCCAACATCTTCAGCAACTTGTCTGATGGTGATTCGACGATTGCTTAGCACATTTTCTTTCACTGCTTAAACTTTTTCATATGTTGTTGACGTGCTGGGACGTCCAGAGCGAGCCAGGCTTGTCTACAACATCCTCTCGGCCATCTTGGAACAGCTTATACCAATAATACAAAATTTTCTAACTCATTGTAGACATATGTAACTGTCAACATTCCAAGAGTTTTAGAGCAGTTGATTCCATTTTTTACACAATATTTAATGCAAGTTCTTTGATCATTCGCCCAGCAAACCAAATACTAAAAAGTAAATAAACAAATAATAAAAGGATAAAAAATCCTTTTATGCCGCTGCTATAAAAACTACAAATGCTAGTAATAGCTAGATGTTTAAATCTAAAGAAAATTTTACTAGAAAAAAATTCCACGCGGACCAGACAGCAGACGGGGCTCGAACCCGCACCCTTTGCTATCCGGGCGAATGCACTGACCATTATGCTACCGCAGCCCTGACGGCCGTGTCGAATTTACTCTAGCCCTTCTTAATAAGCTGCAAGGCAGCGCCATCTCTTCGCATTGTAGGTAACCCACAAGTCCGCGTGGATTTTTTTCTAGTAAATATTTCTTTAGATTTAAATGCTATATAGTCAAAACTATGAACTCATGATCGTGACGAGTGTACTAAGATAACAAAAAAAAAACAAAATTGAATGTACGTGGCGCGCGAAATTTTAAAGTCACCTTACTTTTTAAACACCCCTCGTGTATAAAGCAAAGAGACTTTCTACTATTATATAATTGACGTTCGTGTAAAAATTGCGTACGAGTATAAATCCTATAATCACTTAACTCAGGTCTACGTGATAGCGATGGCAACCAGCCAAACTGAGTCACCTGCCACCATGGAGAATTTAACGTGATAAACCGTGTTTACTCTCAAGCACTCGCCTTTGAATATCATAACTATAACTGATTTCTGTCAGTTCAAGGTAAAATTATTTATTATTAGCCTGCCCTCTTGCCAATTCTAAATTGTAGTGGGCTTTATACGCATAAGGAATTCACTAGACTTTTAGTGCGACTTTTTTCTTGTTTTATCATTTTTCATACGGGTAATTTTTGTGTCATTTTCTTCTAGACACTATCATCGTTTCAGAATATAGATACTAGATGGCTTTAAATATAACCTACTAGCGGCAGCCCGCGACTTCGTCCGTGTTTTATTTGGTTTTTTGAGAATCCCATAGGAACCTAACATTTTTCCGGGATAAGAAGTATTCTATGTCTTAATCTAGGTCATAAACTATATAAGTACCAAATTTCGTCCAAAATTCGTGATTGAGTAACAAATATACAAACACAAACTTTCATATTTATAATATAAGGATTCCTTTGATTAATTATTTAACTAACAAAATATTGAGTTGTTTTTTACAAGGACTTACTCTGAAATGATATTATGCAATATCTTTCTTTTGCTTGCTTTAAAATGTAAGGCGGACAGCACACAATAAGTGTGTGTAATAAATGAGTTTTCAACTAGCTGAAATTCATTATCAGCAAAGTGTCGTATTTTGGCTAAATTAAGATATTTTTTACTTCAATCTCGTACCAAATAGCAGACTTTAAACTACCTTTCAATCTATTATGTTATTTACTTAGTTAACAAGTCAAAGATCAAGTATATTCATTACTTGTTTTTTGTTATTGAACTAGGAAAGTGTAAATTCATTGCTGATTTATCACTTACTGTTGTTAATTATCACTTAATTAAAATTTGTTTTTTAACTATATTAATATACTTTTTATTGTGGTAAATAATGAGAAGTTTTGATGAATGGGAATAACATCTGTGCCACTACGTCAATAACACTGTAGGTATATCTTTTTTGTATGATCTTAATATTTTATAAGCAAATTTTTTCAACTCAATCAAAAATCAAATGATAGTAGGTGGCAACAATATTTGTTTTTTTTTTTCAGTTGCAATATTTCATAAAATTGACGTTGCTTCATAGGATGCAAAAAAAAAAAACAAAAACGATAAATTATTGAAATATTAAAATAGATAAATCACAGAGAAAAGCTGATAGTGGGTAGCAACAACTTTTTTTTTTTTTTTCAGTTGCAACATTTCATAAAAATGACCTTGCTTCATAGGAAGCAACAAAACCAGAAAAAGATAAATTATTGAAATATTAACATAGATAAACTACAGAGAAAGGCTGATTCCTCCAAGAGAAAAAAAAAAGTATACAAAAATAATAAATGGTTGTAAAGTTGACCTTGTGTGTGA